TATGCAGGGAGTCTAGAGTAGTCAAGTGGGGGAAGGGCTTGACAAATGGCTGCTAAGTGACTGTTTATTGCTTGAGCTGCTCCTGATGTATTAGTCGGTTCGAATCCAGGTACATGGATTGTTGAACTCGGTCTGGACCAATTTGCCATTGCTATTAGATATCAATAGAAGCTAAGCACATAGATAAGACTCTTCCATACAATTCCTTTGAACTCGGTCTGGACCAATTTGCCATTGCTATTAGATATCAATAGAAGCTAAGCACATAGATAAGACTCTTCCATACAATTCCTTTGGGGATGAGGGGGTCACTTTGGGAACATTTTTTAACAAAAGGTAGAAACAGCTAGATTGTGATCGATGTTCAACACCATTCTGTTGTTATTGGTTGTTACACATTAGCACTTGTCAAGTTTCCCTACTTATTATGCTCTATATCTATTAACAGCTCTTCTCAATGCTGTCATGAGAGTCCATCTGTGTTGGTAGCTACCAGTGTTTAAAGTTAAAACATTTGTTCCAACACAAAGACTTGTTCTCACCTAGAGCTTTCAACCAGATACCTTTGACCCAGTGTTGACATCTTTTTCAGAGAAGCTACATGACAAGTCTCACTAGGTCAGTCTATTGAAGATGACCAGAGGGACTGGTTGAAAGCTCTAAGTGAGAACAATTCTTTGTGATGGAACAAAGGTTTTAACTTAGACAGCTCTTCTCAATGGTATCATAAACAGTATCTTTCTTTAAAAAATAAGGGACTACCATTAAAACATTGGAAATGCAAACTAACCGAGTATAGAGCTGGCATGAAAAAGCACAAGGAATGGGAGACTTGATAGGTTTGCAATAAGTGTGTCTAATTAGAATAGATGTGGCTTCGATCACCTTTTTAAAAACACTATACATGTACTCTGCATGTTGTACAGAAATGGTACTTGATTTGGGTAGGTTTGAAGTTGAACATTCCCAAACTGAAATCACTTGCATGTTTCAAAATATGTGTCTCTGCATCAACTTAAAATGTTTTCAAAGATGCTTTTATACTGTATCTGGCAGTCATAGTTCTGAGACCAATGTCGTAATTATCATGTCTAGTAATACCGGTAAGAGGGTTTTTCTTTTTTGGTTGCTTCCAGTTGATGGAAGAAGTTTCTTACCAGTATCAGGTTATTAAGTACATTTATGGAGACACTGGGTGCAGATCAGGATGATAGACAGTCATGTTGTAAATAATTGTGAATTCGAAGAGATTAATATGTGTTAATTTATTACCAGTAGGAATGTACAAAACATATTGTTCAATGAGTCTCTGGAAGTCTTCTATCTTCCTCAGAAACTTGGCAATTCATGTGGACTGGGGTTATGCTTGAATGATGAAAGCTGATACATTTATCTGTAATACATTTTGTACTGACATTGCACTGAACATGAACTTTTGTACTGACATTACACTACACCTCAACAGTGAACAGATGCAGTTGTTGCAAATGTTGAAAACCTTGTTTGATTTGATACCTACAGTGTGTAATGTGATACGGATGTTAGGTGGGACACAGAGAGTATAATTTCTCGGACTGTGTATCCCATTTGAACAAGTCTCAACCACAGGTAGACACTTAACACATTTTGTTTGGAATTGTTTTGAACCCTAGTGACCCAACAGACATTGTTTGTTTTCAACTTTTGTAGCCTGGAGTTTTTCCAGATGGAGAAGTGGTTTTATTTGGACAGTTTATAAGTCTTTTTTGTCAGTTGTTGCTTTCTGTCTGATTTTGATTTGAATTTAAGTAGAAAAAAAATTAAGCTTACTGCAACTGTCCCATTGCACCTGGGGCTACCAAATTACTCAGAACAGTACCAATTGTTAAAGTAGCCTAGAGCTGATTAAAAAAAGGCTCGAATAAAAAAGCACAATGGGCACAAATTTAACACATCAGTTGGTGACCAATAGTATATACACATGGGTTACTACCTAGCAAATGCATATTAAATGGATGATTCCCAAAGTCTTTCATATTGTAATCATATTTGCATGGTACAGAGGAGAATTTTCCTTTTATCATTAAAGCCCTTGGTATAACTATATTATATACAGTGTTTTTTAATGTGGAATGGAGGATTTTATCAGCTAAAATTTGTCACAGAAAGTACTTGTGCTCTCTACAAGTGTGTTCTCTGATGGGAAGACAAATGAAGCATCAAATCTGGAAAAGACACAAATTGCTTTTGGGTAAAGGATTTGAATCTGTAGACATGATAGTCATGGTTTCCCTGGTGATCCAGTTAAATGTCATTGCCAATAGACAAATATCATGTTTTGGTATGTGCAAAATTTCACATATAGCTACATTATGCTTTAATTCTCATTCTCTAGGGGGCCAAAAGCAATTAGCTTGAAGCCGTATCTATGGATAGTCTTCCAGTCTCTTCCCAACAGATCCCAAACACTTTTCTTTAATAGGGAGTTCAATGTTGTATAGGAGAATAAAGCTGTACACACACAATGAAGACAACCAGCAGTGTGAATTTGTTTGGAATGTGTCACAATGTTTATATATACTCTTTGTTTCCTAAAAAATACTAATAACTTTTATTCCACATGTTTAACATTTAATCATTTTTACTGCAAGAACAGACAACTTTCATCTGACAATATTATTAACATTAGACATGGAAAGTAATGAAGGTTCTCTTTATTACATTTGGCCACATAAATGTAATGACATGCATGTACAAGTCATGTACAAGTACCTCGGTTTTGGTCCATTTTTCCCAAAAACAAGACCTGTCACTGACATGCAACATAATTTCTTAGTTTTAAATCATTTTAATGGCTGAATCTGAGGTCTTGACTTGTATGAGAGTGTCTTGGTCCACATCGTAGTTACTGAGCGCGCTGTCTGCCAGTGGGGTGATGGCTACATGGGGCATGTCACAGCAAGGTTTGCTGAGGGCAGGGTAGTACTGTCGGTACACTGTGTATGCCATGGTAGATCCAACAGCAACGTCTGAAAAACAACAGACAAACTTTGAGGAGTTGTTTTGACTACCTTTCTAGCCACAAAGAAGTCATACCAAACAGATTAATGACATTTTAAGATTAGGCAATGTTGATTTGATTATATGGATGATAGATCTAGCCTCTGGGAACCCCAAAACTGATGCGAGCGTGTGAATAAAAAAGTTTGGCCCCCCAAAAAAGTTGCCTTCATTATGGAGTCTACGCGGTCATGAAGGTTGAACTAATGACTAAACATTTCTTCACATTTTCTTCTTTTCCTTTGGAATTGATTTTGGCCTTCTCCGACATTTGCAATTTACAGCATGTATTTGCTCATTTTGCAGCTGTTTGCTGAATGGCTGAGAACTTTTTTTTTAAACATGTGGAAATTCATGCGCGTGTGGATGTCATCCATAATAATGAAATCAACAGCACCTACTTTAATTCAGTCCTACACTACTGTGTACCAAGACCAATCTGCCTCTCTTGGATCGCTGACAAAATACCAAACAAGTTGATCTAAACCAGAAGCTGTACCAGCCTTATATAGAAGAATGACCCTTTCTTCTACACATAGTTCTTTTTGAAACTTGACAGATTTTGGGGCATGTTTGGTCCTTTCCCTCAGTCAGAACTGCAAGCACAAGCACTAGAAAGCCTGTTCAAGATGGTCATGTTAATTATGCTGTGTGTCTTCCTTCCCATGACATGTGGACAAGATCAAGTAAGCTTTGGACCAGGTGACAGGTTTGTGTGCAGCCCTGTCATCAACATACCGCAGCAGACGTGTGGTGGCCATGCTGACGACTGCAAGAGTCTGGAGGCCTGCCTCGGTAAAATAGACGACTTGGAACACCATCTTGACGAGGAGAAGACAAAGATTGCTGACCTGGAGCAGCGTCTAGCCTCCCTAGAAGCTCAACAACTGAAGGCAGAGCTGGGAAGTGCTGCGAACCCAGGACTGTCTTGCAAAGAAATAAAGGACACTGTAGACGCAGCCCAGGATGGGCTGTACCACCTCCGTAGCCAGGAAGGGATTGTGTACCAGACCTACTGTGACATGACCATCGCTGACGGTGGGTGGACTCTTGTGTCCAGTGTGCATGAGAATGACATATATGGGAAGTGTACCGCTGGTGACCGCTGGTCTTCAACTCGGGGAAGCACCACTAACTACCCCGTGGGGGATGGAAACTGGGCTAACCTCAATACATTTGGTTCAGTTGACTTGGCAACTAATGATGACCTCAAGAACCCTGGTTACTTCAGCATCAATGCATCTGACGTGATGCTGTGGCATGTCCCCAACAACACTCCTCTGTCCCAGTACAAGTCCGCAGCCTACCTGAGGTACTACACAACTGACAGGTTCCTGCAACGGTATGGTGGCAATCTGTATTCCCTGTTCAAGGATCATTTCCCAATTGTCTACCAAGATCCAGGTGAGACAGGGAATGGACCAGCAGTTCCCGTTACCTTCGACAACGGGAGTGAGGACCTGATAAAGTCGCTGGTGGCTCCTAACGTGCTCTCTGAGGTGACGCCTGGGTTTGTACACTTCTGTGTTTTCAACAATGAACAAGCCCCTCTTGCTGTGTGTCCAGGTCTGAAGTATAATGGAGGGAACTCTGAGCAAGCTTGCATTGGAGGTGCAGCATACTGGCCAGAACAAGCCCCTCGCCAGTGTGGGGACTTTGCAGGCAAGGCCTGGGACGGCTACGGAACACATACAGGCTGGAGCAGCAGTCTGCTGGAGCTGCAGTCTGCTATTCTGTTCTTCTACCGTTAAAACAAACATGCACACATGTATCAACAGTAAAATCAAGACAGCTCAATGCTTTTACTTCTAGTTTCAATATGACGAATACCATTCTATATTTGACCAGTACCTAGTACTAGTAAGGGGAAATACCAAAGAAGTACAATGTTTGTATGTATCACTTTATCTCTTGAAACAGAAATGAGAACATGTTTGAAAGTTTTCAGATTGAAAAAATTTTGCCAGTGGTCAGCTCTTTTTTGCTAAGATAACTGGAAACACATTCATGTCAACATTTTTACCTACGCCCAAGAAATATGTTTCAGCTTAAAACCTAGACTCTGACCTTGCCAGTGATGTCTGTAGTCTGAGGTTCGAGACAAGGCAATCATAGTGGCGCCAAGCAAGGGCAAGCCTGCCAGAAGAAGTCTCCAAGATTGACCACGCCCTTTGCCCTGGAAGCAGTGCAGTTTTCCAGCTAGGTACACTGCAGCAAAAGTCAGTCCTGTGAAGGAAACTGAAAAAGACAAAATGTTGGTAATCAGTCTGGGTCAAATATCTTCAAAGTCAAAACAATTTTTAAAAATTCATAAATTTTACATAAATATATAAATAGAAAAGTTTCTTTTATAAGGTTTTGTGTTTGAAAATGTATTAACTTTTAGACTTTCTTCAATTCTGTATAAGCCTAAAGTTCATTTCCCTAAATCACATTCTTTCACACACAAATTTAAAACTACATATTGCCCAAAAGTACATCGTAGCAGTAGTAGATCGACTAGTGGAGACTTGCACATGAAACGTTTGAATATCCTTTGAAAATAATTAAGAATAGAATGAAGTTTCATACTTTAGAATGTAATTAATATGAGACTATTCCTTTTAGCAATCTTTATATTTTACTCAACAGCTAAATCCCTTCAAAGCAAAATTTGAATACTAGTATTTTCCTGTGCAGATTTGTGATGCAAGTGCAAGTGCAAATTTAATTTTTTTACCCACAAAAAACCCAACCCTTAGATGAGAACCTACATGAGGAATGTCCACTGGGAAAACTCTTTCTGCCCTCAAGAATGGCATCAGGATCTCCGGTGCACTTCATATCTTTACTCCACTTTCCGTCAGGAAAACAACGGGAGAAGAAATCCGGTCTAGGTCTGGACAGAGAAAACATCATTACACTTAAGTTAGAGTACCTTATACATTCATTAATTTTACATATATAGTGTTCCTAAACAACAAAATAAAGGGATTGTAAATAGATTATAGCTTGTCAAGCTACAGTTTGCTGTGCTATAAAATATCTTTTTACTTACTTTCAGGAATATGACCACTTGTTTTACCCAACTAACAATCACTTTTTTGTAGTGTCCTGGGAGTATTTATGGGCAACCAAAATTGGTGGCTTCTATGGAAAGTAACGTAAAATAATTAATCATTAACTTAGTTTATTGACTGTAGGCATCTCTTATAAGTTGCAGAATGTGATATGTTTCTTGTCTACTAATATGTACATGTATGATAAACATTATATAATGCATACCTGCCATACATGAGTTTAACTGTATTGGTGACCACTCCATTCAGTACCAAGGCCAGGCTTACAGCTGAAATAATAAAAATTTAGTGTCAAAAGACAACTGTTCCAATTCCTTTAGAAGACATTCTGATTCAAATTTCAGAAGGTTAATGATTGCTACAGATAACACTTTAGGGTAACTCACCTAAAATTCCTTGGAATGCTTCTATCTTGTCTCGCTTGACAGTGGAATAAACAATCACCACAATGAGTGGTGTTGCTATTGATATTGTCTGAAATCAATATGTCAAATGGTGAGTGAGAGGTATGTGTGAAGTTCCCAGAACTAAATTATTATGGTGACCAAAAACTGCTTTGCATTTTTTTACACAGCATCAGTGAAGACAGCTGATCTCAAGAACTTTGAAGTAAAAAAAAAAGGCACTTTAACTACTTGTACTAGGAAGATTCCAATTTTATATGCCAGGGGGACAAAAGAAGGCAAAGAAACTGTGGTGCAGTTAAAACTGATGCAGTCAATACTGAATGTTACCTCCAATAGTGCAGTATAATGCAGAAAAAATATTTTGAGCCCTCAATTAAATGTAGTACTATGATCGAAGGAGGATTAAACGACCTTGGTAATAAGTGTAAGAAGTTTCCCAACTTACAAACATGACAGTTGTTGGCACAGCATCATGCTGGATGTGTGGGTACTTGTACAGCCATCTCTCCTCAGGCTGAATCTCACGGATAAAGGGAGTCATGTCTTCTGTGATCCTGCAACAGGAATGTCGAAGAAACCAATGAACTTTACTGCTCCACAATATATTGGGCACAAAAACGCATGTAAATTTTCATGCGGCCTCATGTGAATCACATGAGGCCACAAATGTAATGAGTGTTGCTCAGGAATCAAGAGGTTCTGGGTTCAAACTCTCAGTGACATGCCACAATGCTGTGGTCATCATGCGAAAGGTGCTCTTTTATTAACAACAAAAAAGCACTTTACTCTGGTGAAAATGAGTTTTATTGTTTGATAACTCAAAAATCAAGCCACTCTTGTTCATGTATTATGCACTAATTTTAATGGGCAATTGGGATTCATCAAGTGTAGTCAAGTCCAAGTGTATTCATCAAATAGTAACAAGCCACTTCTTAACTCACTTCTTAAGCCACTTCTTTGCAAATTTTATTGGCTGCCTCACTCGAGCTCTACTCTATTTTTATTTCAACTGCACCAAGGAGGAATTTAATACCCTGATCTGTAGAATCAAAAAGGACCCTGAACTTACAGGAAGATGACCAGGAGTAGAATCCTGACCACCAGCTCGCCCACGATGTACGCCGCCTGCCTGGCCATGGTGCATCTGTGACAGGCCGAGACAAAGTCCATATTGCCTTAATAGTCGAGTTCTGCTGCATCGGTTAATATTTTACCATCAGTTGTCAAAGCAAAGCCAGGCCCGGTGTTTGAAGTGGGGAGGGGGGGCGTATGAAAGCCTCTATGAATTTTCTGAGAATTATACCATGACGTCAACTCTGACTTCACTGTTTACTTTGAAAACATATGTATTAATGGAACAACAACGTTTTTCAGTGAGTGACGTTAAACCCGACGTTTTAAAACCTAGATTCTCTCCAGTCGGGTTCATACGTGTCAGAAAATTTTCTTCCGGTCCGCAATTTCCTTCCCATCATGCACTGTAAACAACATGGCTGACTTGGGATCTTAGTTGAAAAACTCGGCCGGTGTGCGTCGGAAAATCTCCTCTTTTATGCGGTTTGCTTCAAATCTTTGCATCTAATCACAGCAGCGATAGGAAAGAGTTACGTTGAGAGCATGAAGACACTACAGATGGCCCTGACAGGGGCCTTGCACCACCAAAACAAAGGGGCTTCCGACTGGTAAGAGAGATACGCCTTCGTCATCAGTCATTCGTCTACTAGTCACATGATAATTCTTCCGACTTTAAATTAGTTTATCCACACTTTTATGGACAGTCATCTGTAATTGCATGACCTACATAATCTGTATGATTAGATGATTGGGCCATGTGCTTCATATTATGCTAAATTATTCTACTTCGTCGGTATGTTCAAACACTTGATACTTGATTATGATCGCCCTAAGTACCCTCCGGCCCACCTTTGCTTGCTTGCTACTTAGTAACTTCTTGTCTGTACCTCCCACTAACAAATCTATTTACCACACGTAATTCCAGTTTTCACACATACTCAATAAATTGAGGACTTTTAATTAACACCCATCGCAATGTTTTCTTTTGCCATTGTCAAGTTTCTCTTAATGAATTTATTGTTCAGGAAACAATACATTCAACAGTCAGCTATTAATTTATTGGTAACACTTTGTGAATGGTGTTGTTGCCTGTTGTTGCAGGGGTTGGCCAGGACTGCTGGCGTATGGTTGCCAGAACTTTGTTGTAGTGGTGGATACTCGTACTGTACAGGTTGGTAGAGCATTATGCAAATTACTACTAATACTAGTAATCTCCAAGCAGATTTCTTCCAGGGCTGGGCACTATAAAATTGGCAAACGGTAACTTGGGTGGCCAGTTTGATTGTCCCCAGCCCCTCCTGAAATCTGCTTGGAGATGACATGCAACAGGTCTAGTTGTTATATGTTATGACTGACACAAAGCAGATAGTATGTGTAGAACTAATCTCCAGGCAGACTGGTGGGGAAATGCATACAGACTGGCCAATTTGATACTGTCTTACCCCAAAAGATCTGCTTGGAGATTAATGTAGAACCTCTAGTTGAATCATGAGCTGTTGGTAGCCCAACATGCATTTTATTGGTTTATTTCCCTGTTTAAGTTTGAGTAAGCTGTTACATCACTTGTTTACGATGGAACCTACTGGTATTATACATATGTACAATACATATTGTGAACTGTCAAATTGCTACATATACTATATAGTTTCCCCAATGATCAATGATTTGCCCCCTAGTAATGTGAGAGGAGCCCAATCAAGTCCTGGACAGTGGAGTTTATAATGTATACATGTATGTGATAGTGTAAAGCCAAAGCAATAAAAAATTGTTGATACAGATACTAAAATGTACCAAAGTTAGTCAGTGTTTTCCTCATTGAATTAATGCATCATTCAATTAGGGATTTCTTTTCATACTAACTAACTGAATTTGTGCTACATGTAGTATGTGAACTAGTCAGGGACAAAATTATAAAATGAATAATACCGGTATTGTGATTTATTTTGCAGGTTATTCAGACCCTTGACCGACACAAGACCAATGTTGTGAAGGTAAGACTGAAGTATCATCTGTTTTTGACAAAATATCCCTGATTTAGGCTGACTTTTCTTACTCCTTGATACCCTGTTATAATTCTGTCATTCTATTCCTGTCTAGAGCAAAAAATGTAGCCTGGAATCCATCCCTATGAGCTATTTGCCGGTTCTAATAGTCACCGCCACCTGTACTACTAGAACCGGAAAATAGCACATAGGGATGAATACCTGTAAGGCTACAAAAAATGTATATATTAAGTAATTGATCTATTTTGTGGCCCTCAGAGGCTCTCCTTGTGATGTTGTTGTGAGTTGTATGTTACATGTTGACAGGTAAAGTGGGCCCGTGAGAACTACCACCATGACCTGAACCTGCCGTACACCCTGCGACTAGCCTCGGCTGACTCCCACGGCAGGATCGTGGTCTGGGACGTCAGCCAGGGGCTCATACGGGCAGACTTCTACGATGGGACTAAGCCTGTTCAAGGTCAGAAATCTGTCAACATGTAAAAACTGCCTTTAGACGTAACTAGTTTTGTGTCATCAAACCGCACAGTCCGCTGTTACTCAACATGTACCTCAATAATATTGAAGACTGTATTGATCCACTCACACCAGGAAGACCCCTACTCTTTCTAATAAGTGTTGTGGGATCTTTAATGTGTTGAAGATGTGGCTTTCCTCAAACATGGGCCCTCTGGCTTTATTTCTTATCCAAATGGACATCCATAACTGAAACTAGGTACAAATGTACTTATATTTTATATTTTCATCTGACTTGAGTGAGAAAATACATGTAGTGTCTTTCCTATATATTATAAGAGCCTGCCATGGGATTGGAACCCAGAACCCACCTTACCAGACTCAGGCTTGGTTTCAGCCAGCTGAACTACCACCTATTCCAGCATCACTGTATCAGTAGTCCCGAGTGCAAATGTGGGCATCCGAATGAGACACCAGAACACTATTTATTACACTGCAAATGTTATAATACTGAAAGGACCAAAATGTTGTTATCCATATCTTGCCTTCATCTTGAAAACATACTTCCTTCCGACCCACTCAACGTAAACGACGCCACATTATGTACTTTACTTCTTACAGGTAGCCCCTCCCTCCCATACCCTACCAACTGCCGTATCTTTGATATTGTGGTTAACTATATCCACCACTCTTGAAGATTTGACCAATCTCAATAATGTTATGCTAGGTATTGGTGCGCCAGCCACTTTCATTTTATGTTAATGCTATACTTTATGTCATCTTTATGTTTACATTTGTATTATGTTTTATGAGCAGCGGATTTACATAAGCACAACAAGTGCTTCCTATCCAATGCTCAAAAATCCATGTTAATAAAATAAACCTTTAGATTCTAAGTCAGCAACCCTAACTACAACCTGTTTGTCCTTTTGTGGTTAGGGTCGATATGTGGATATGCAATTCAATTACTTGTCTGATCAGTATGATTGAATCTGTCAGCTTGGCTATGTAATTCAATTTTTGTGTATGAGCTGCATGTCCCCAAGGACTTGTTAATCAAAGAGTAGATTAAGTCGTATTCTAAGTAGTTTTGAGGCAGCATGATGTCCATGTATAATGGAGTAAAGTTCATGTAATATTACTGGTATAAGGGAAAGGTCTGTGTGGTCAACAGCTGGAGAATTAATTTGATTCCAGCTAGCCTAAATGAACACATTAGCTACAAACACTTTTTGTTGTTATCTCAGTTTTACATTTTGGTCTGTGTGGATGGTCAGGATTTTTTAAATTTTATTTAAACCTCCTTAATGCTTGGACTGGTGGAATAACATACATTTATACCTGCCAGAATTTCTTGCAAGAAAATAATTTTGTTTAATTCAAAGGTCCTTATAATTTAATTTAATTTATTCTATGCATGTAGTGCTGTTAGGCCACATGAATTTGATCAGTAACTGGTGAATGGGGGGATTCAGGGAGACACAGATTGTACGCGAGGCACACTCTAAATACTTCCTGGAAGCCTGAAATGTCCTGATTTTTTGTTTCAGATTTGGAGTGGTTGTCCACCCAGGATGCCTGTCCCACCCTGCTGGCTGCTATCCACCCTCCCAGCTCAGTGGTGCTGTGGAACGCTGACACTGGAACTAAACTGTGGAAAAAGAACTTCAACGAGACTCTGCTTTCCTTCGCCTTCGACCCCTTCAACCCAGCCAACATGACCCGTAGGTTACAGTAATGTAAAAATTACCTTTGCTATGCTGTATCTGTTTACTTGTAAACCATCGCAGTAAGACATACTCTAAGAGCATGAGCAACAAAAGTCATGTACATGTATCTACCTACCAATTTTCATGACAATCCATCCAAAGCTTCTTGAGTTATTGTAACAACATACACACATACACACAAACACTATGGAAAACATAACCTTCTTGGCAAAGTTAAAAATTGGTCAAATCAACGCACTTACAAATAAAAATGAATATTGAACATTGTAGATATCTACAACATGACATTAACTGGTGTGTTACGGCGAAAGGCGGTTATACCGGCTATACAGATACAGATACAGAACATGTAGTTGTTTTATGTCAGGAATTTGCTGTGTAAACAAATAAAATGCTTTACTGTGAAACATACAAAATAACTTGAAGTCTGTTTTCCCTCCAGTGCTGGCCAATGACTGTATCCTGTTTGTGAGTGACTTCACAACGTCCAGACCCCCAGCAGGGACAGGGCGCCGGTTCTACATCTCCAACCCTGCCAGCCCCGTCAACGCTGGGGCAGCGGAGGGGGGTAGGTCAGCCGAGCGCAGGACGGGGGGGCGATCAGCGCTGAGGAGAAACTTTAAACTGCTGGTGGGGGATGTCAAGGACAGGTATTAAAGGCACAAGTTTTGTTATCATAAAGGTTCATCATGTAGTTACGTGTTTAAAGTTAAAACTTTTGTTCCAGCACAAGAGCTCATTTGCCATGTCTGACCTTTAGACCTACTGACATTCTGCCGGCCCTCCCCCCTGCCCATGTGCTGTCAACCTACTCTTTTAGGACAAATAGACACAAAAACCTACACCTCAGCCACCCAAAACAATACCTCCATACCCAGAATTAAATAATCCTGGTGTAATGTATTAGGGATGTACATTATAGAGAATGTTAAGATTAAGCAGGAAGAATAGCAGAATTTTCCTGTGGCACAAGTAAATGAAGAAACCATTGGACTGTTTTCTGTGTGCTGCGTGTCTTACAGTACTAACAAAGAGCTCCTTGACAGTGTGTTCTCCACATCGAAGGGCGGGGAGGACACAGTAACGCTGAACGAGTGTCTCCAGCTCATGTACCTACGGTCCTGCCGGAACCACCTTCTCCTGGTCTACTCCAAAGAACTGCTCATCCTGGACCTGGAGATCAAACAGACGGTCGGCATTGTGGCTATAGAGAGGAGTGGCTCACCCTTCCTACAGGTAAACATACCTGGTAGTCAGAACTGGTACGTCGATGAAGGTACCAGGTACATGTAATAAGGTATACCAAAAAACAGTTAATCAAGCAACTGGAGTTATATCCGAAATCATCTCCAGTTGCTTGAGTAACTTTTTTGTGTGTGTATAGTCACATTTGATTGTATCATATTATTCATGTATCATTCTTACACGTACCTATTATTGCACAAATAGCTTGTGTGGATCAGAGGTTAGTGACCCTGCCTCTGGACCAATAGGTTGTGGGTTTGAATCACAGCTGTTGTTGCTCACCGGACACCCATACTACTGAAAGGGGCTGTTGTCCTTCTTCTTTTCTTTTGGAATTAATTTTGGCATTCTACGACATTAGTATCGTTTTCCAATGACATCAGCATGGCCTTAGTTCGCTGTCTTTCATTGATGGGATTATGGGGGATATTGGTAACTTTGTGCAGTAAAGACTTGTATGGTAGAAGATATTAATTTAAAAAGAGTTTCTATTTAACAGGGTTTATATCTCTCATCTACAGGTGGTAGCCTGCAGACAGAGGGATGCCCTGCTGTGTCTCCATGAAAACGGCAGTGTGACAGTTCGAGTGCGGAGAAAAGTTGTCATGGGGCCGTTCTCAACACCAGTGGACCAGATTGGCAATGTGGCCTCCCAGCAGACAGGTGTGGAATTGCAGCTATGTGTAACATTCAATAGCCCAATTTTATTGATGTAGCTTATATGTATATCATGTTTTTTAAAAATGTATTTTAAAAATGTCATCATTGAAGCAAGATATTTCCTTGTTGTTGAGAATATATCCGACCTTTTACCAGTCAATTGGCCCATCAAAATTGTATAGAAATCATATTAAAACATTTGGAATATATTTTATGGGAAAGAAATGACACCTGTGTACTGAATAGAGGGCAGTGGAAAAAGCTGTCTACTGTACGGGTTACCTTGAGTACTGAAGCTGATTTTCTTCACAGTTGACTTGAGTCCCTTGAGTGAACAAGACGTCACATACGAGCTGCGCTGTCAGTCGGAGGCTCTCCGCATCACCAAGCACATCCGCATCACCGGCATGGCGGCCTGTCCCGTGAACGAGCGCTCCGTCGCCGTCTTTGTGAATGACGGCCGCATCATGTTCTGGAACCTCACCACGGTTCCCGCTCTTGTCCCAGCCAGAGACACACCTAACCACACACAGACACACCTGTCCCCTCTCCACTCCCCGGGATTCTCGCTAAGTGACAGTGGAAGTGATCCCTACAAGTACCCTTCCTCATCCAGTTCCAGTGAGGCCTCTACAGCCGCCGCCTCACCCGCCAAAACTGCCAAAACCTGCTCCGTGCCAAGAACGTGCAACGTCTCGCATGTGAAGATGGCGATATGCGACATGATTGGTCAGACGTACGGCCCGACAGAACCCAGTGTGGACAGACAAGGGTATGTCTTCAGATTCACCCTGCAGGGGCTGTTGAGTGGACTGCCGCTACCCCCTACAATCATCAAAATGTGCCCACCTCTTACGACGAAGAACTGGAATGTGTACAGACCACTGCTGGCAGTTGGTAAGAGCCACCACAAATATTATATTCTTCACATAGTCCATCTCACCCCCATGAAACTCCTTCCTCTTCGCCCCCGCCGTTCTGCTTGGCCCCCGCCCCGTTCTGCTTGGCCCCCGCAAAAAATCTGCTTCGCCCCCGTCGTTCCTCTACGCCCCCGGCGCAATTCTGCTTTGCCCCCGTCCTTCTGCTTAGCCCCCAATGGCGGCACAGCTCACAGTCGACAGGAAAATCGTCTGCAAAATAACAATAAAGGCTGTGCCGCCAAATTTAAAGTAGCCCATGCTCCGGCAAACATTCTGGACCACCTTTCTGCCAAGTGGCGTTGCACAAATCCTTCCCATTCAAAAGTTTACCCCTACCTCACGGCCCGTCAGTGGTTCTTACGTTTATAAGTACTGGCGGGAAATTTCACTCACGGCTGGACAGACGCTAGGCTGATCGCCATGGAAGGTGGGTACTAATTAAAGCCAACTTGGATGATGGCGGGATTTTGTATCAGCCAATTGAACAGTAACTAATCGTGTTCCTTTTGATACAAGTAGACAATAGTGAAAAAATGACAGCTATCAGTAATAGCATTAAGTTAAAAATTGTGCTGCAAATACTAAGTAGAATTTATAAGGCAATACCTTGCTGCGTGAGGTGACATGGATTTAGAATGCTGTGTAAAAACTAGACGAGACCACTGACGGGCCGTGAGGTAGGGGTAAACTTTTGAATGGGAAGGATTTGTGCAACACCACTTGGCAGAAAGGTGGTTCAGAATGTTTGCCGGAGCATGGGCTACTTTAAATTTGGCGGCACAGCCTTTATTGTTATTTTGCAGACGATTTTCGTGTCAACTGTGAGCTGTGCCGCCATTGGGGGCTAAGCAGAAGGACGGGGGCAAAGCAGAATTGCGCCGGGGGCGTAGAGGAACGACGGGGGCGAAGCAGATTTTTTGCGGGGGCGAAGCAGAACGGGGCGGGGGCGAAGCAGAACGGTGGGGCGAAGAGGAAGGAGTTTCATGGGGGTGCATCTTGTCTATGACTTTAAAATAAAAAATTATTTTGTGGCTTTGTGTCTAACACTAATGGCTCTACATGTGCTGCTAGTATCTTTTCCCACAAGCTACATATTATATAGATACCCATCCTTTGACCTGCATTGTACAAGATACAGATGTTAAATGTGTATTCCCATCCTCCCACAGGTTCTTCCAATGGTCTTGTTCAGGTGTACAACCTGTCCAGTGGGCTGCTCTGGAGAGAGTTTAACATCCACACCTGTCAAGTCAGGTGAGAGACAAGGCCTACAGTTCTAGTTTTCATCTTTAGAAACACAGCAGTATACAGACAAATTCAGTATACAGCAATAAGGATGTTCACCACTAAGACTGTGCATGCCGAGTGTCAAAGGTGTCAAAGCTCCCCATGCCCAAATACAAGCAAGCATCTGACCATGCTGCATACATAACATTGTCCAGACATCTTTTATTAATATCTTTGGTGCCTTGATTATCAACCTGAGTAATGGGAATAGGAGGTAAATGTTACAGGTATTGTTTATGAGGCATATAGTACTAGATAAACTTGAAGATTGAACCCTGTCTGTCATCAGTAAAACTTAGTCATATATATTGAGCCTTTTCTTTCACTACCTCTACAGGGGGCTAGAGTGGACCAGTCTGACCAGTTTCCTGTCCTTTGCCTACCCGTCGCCTGGTCAGTCTGGCCTGGTCAAGAATGAGCTGCTGCTGGTCAACCTGCAAACAGGCAAGGGACATGTGTGACTCAAAGACTAGTCTTATATTCAATCATTGCAGCAAAATGGTAGTCACAGTGGTCCATACTTGTAGTGTGTGTTACCCCCGGTAGTCCAGAAGTAATAGCAACCCTGGTTGGGAGTTCAAATCCCAGCTGTTGTTGTTCAACGGGACTTGCACACTTCAGGAAAGTATCACAGTCCTTAGGACAGGCAGGATGTTAAGCTGTGGTCCACTGTTCATTGTACATTGTCAAATGGAGCAAGAAATGTCCCTAGTACAATGAACCTGTAAATGCTTTACATAGCTTCTCTATCTTCCCTGTCATGAGCAGTGGAAGATTAGCTCTGGAGTGATCTTAACTGGTTTGAGATCAATTTCCATCTGTCTTTCTTCACTTTCATATTGAATTCCTGAGACATGGCACATGAGATATGTTGAGAGTAGGTACAATCAGGCTGAATAGTGGAATAGAAATTTAAAGTCTTGTTGTGTTTCACACATCGTAGAATCTAGAATTATTTTGACAGTTGATGTACAGTTGAACTTTCCAATTTTAAACTTGTCTTTGTATACTGATAGGTTCAAGTGAACTGTTTCGGGGAGACAAGGGGAACGATGAGTCACCCATAGAGATAGTACGGATCTCACACCTCAAGTGAGTATGTGGTGTATGTAGACAGTTCATTCTTTTGAGTTGCCATAAGCAACCTGTCTAGTATCTTTGAATCTGTATCACTAGTCTGAGAATACATTGTACCACAGCATAGGTTTCGTAATACTCATATCTTTGCATTGTAAATTTTATCTCTAACTGAAGGTGCTCTTCTTTGTCTTGTTCCAGACAATACGCCATCATTGTTTTCAAGGACAAGCCCATGGAACTCTGGGATATCAGAAGCCAGACCCTTCTGAGAGAAATGCCTAAAAACTTCCCAACAATCTCTGCACTGGTCAGTTATGCTTTCAGTCCAAAATGTTTTCAGGGTCAAGTCATGAATATCATTCAACCTCCTCCTTTTTTATTGTAACATTTGTCTCCTGATGTATTGCATTGGTCTTGACCCTTCCCTTGAAATTTGACAAATGTTCCTGACCTGATTTCTAAAATTGCAGTTGTGTATATGTTTGAAAATGGCATCAAATAGCTGAGTAGTTAGCTAGGACACAAGGCTAATGGACACAAAATCATGGGTTCAATTCTTGCCTAAACGTTGTTTCAGTGTAAAGGCATGGGTATTTGATTTCGGTTGCGGGGAGCTAAAAAGATAGGAATGTGCTCTGCCTTTCAACACAATGCCCATGGTTCAAAGGATTAACTGTCCCTACAGTCTCTTTCTATTGCTATTGCTATACTTTACCTACTATGTGTACAAATGCTGTTTGCCAGTCTTTTGACCCTCAATTATTACCAAGTACAAGATAAACATACATTTGTATCCACAGGAGTGGTCACCTTCCAACAATCTGAAAAGCTTGAAGAAGAAGCTATCCCAGGATCCAGTTGCAGCTGGCTCCCCGACAGTCGAGTTGTTGCCCACTATTGGAACTGAGACCAAAGCACAAACAGGTATAATAGTCACAGTTTTACCTACCATGGTTAAGTAATTCAAGGGTAATTCATGTTCTTCAGACAAGCAAAAGATTGTTCAGATTTCTAGACCATTACTAATGATTATTTTTAGTTATTATTGGTAAAAGTAGCAAAAGAATTTCATAGTTTAACTTCATGGATGAGTAAGATAGTATTTTAGTCTTTTCAAACTGGATAAAAGTTTAATAAGCAAACGTTTTGGGTGTTGTTCTGATGACACTCTTCATCAGTGAATGTTTTTACTGTTACTGTTACTACCCCGGATGATTAATCTTCACAAATGCTTCATGGATGAGTGTTTTTTTTTTAAATATGAATGTTGTTACAATGTATTGAATTTGTCTATTTATTTAGCATAACCTTTGTTTGGTTGGCTGGTTGCTCTCTTACAGATAGCAAAAAGTTGGCCAACCTGACGGTGCGGGAGCATTTCGTGTTCACAGACTCAGACGGGCAGCTGTACCACTTCATGGTGGAGGGGAACATCGTCAAGGATGGCTCCAAGATCCCCCCTGACGTGAGCTGATCAAACAAACAACTTTGTGTAGCAAACTTGTTGGGTCGTGTGGTGTTATGGCAGAACATTCGGCTCAGAACCAAGAGGTCCCGGGTTTGAATCCTGTCATGTCACCAACCTTGTGCCCTTGGGAAAGGCTCTTTACATGACTTTCCTCACTTCACTCAGGTGAAAATGAGTATGCCAGAATGATCATTATCATGATCGTGGGCATTAACAGAAAAAACAAAACCAAACTTCTGTGTGATGCAGTCTGTCTATAGGGGTAGATTATTGTGTTATTGTCTGGGCATTCACATCGTCTTGGATAAAGGAATGGAAAGAAGGATTCTGGGATGCTGTGCTACCATCTCCCTGCTATAAGCTGGCCTATCCTGTATGTGTTAGCCTGGGTACCATCCTGGTTGGTTGAAATTTGCTCCAATAGTCACTACCCACAGTGTATTAGATTGTTTTATTGCAAATTCATGCCCGAGAGCTAATTGCAGGAACAGAAGAAACGTTTGGTATAAGAAAAGACAATTAATACACAGAGAACTACAGATAATTCCTAAGAAACTACTGGTAAAAAACTTCTGGGTTTGAGTGGACGTTAACTAACCAGGATAGTACCCAGGTTAGTCCTGTGTACCTAACGTGATTGGTGGACGTGTCTTTACAGGGAACCATGGGAGCCATCACCTGTATAGCCTGGAAGGGTGATACCATGGTCCTGGGGGATGTGGATGGGAATATCAACATATGGGACCTGAAGGCTAAGATATCCAGGTACACAATACATCAGTTGTATCTCCAGTTCATCAGTGAAACTGTCATAGCTCTAGTCTTCCTGCAGGTATAACAACTGTAAATATTTTTTATGTTTACCGAAGGAAAACATATTGTTTTTGCTACGTTTCCTCTTCTTCCATTCCAAACACTGACCTCTGACCTGGCCAATGACCTGATTTGTTGAGGTTTCTCACCATGGAACTGGTGTTGGGTGACATAATGTTGCAATTTTATACTAAGTAGGTGGGATTTATACTCCTGTCTGACCATAAATATGAATGTATTTGAGTTAAAGAATTAACAGAGCAGACCATATGCGAAGGTAAACATTATGCATTTGCTTTGCAAATGTTACCTTTCTAGCGAAATTTTAACTGATGTCTGAATACCTGGAAAAGACTTACAGTATGTTACTGTGTGTGTCATATGATGTACTTCAGAGCTGTACCCACACATCGTGGCTGGATCAAGAAGCTGAAGTTCGCTCCTGGTCGCGGCAACCAGAAAATCCTAGTTCTGTACAACGACGGGGCAGAGGTGTGGGATGCCAAGGAGGTGAGCTGGAACAAACAGATCTGTGTGAGTCATGAGCAGGAGAGGAGTATCCGCTGCTTGTTGTTTGTGTACACAGCAAAAATGTCCCAAGGATTGTATCAGTCAGTCATGACTGTAGCAGTGGACTTCACTGAAAAACAAAACAACTGAATATCTGCTGCCACAGTCATGAGCTGATCCTGTGACAATCCTACACGGCCCCGCCATTCTACGCGCACTTCCGCATTAGGTCTGCGCAAGCGCACTAGGCACTCGCGCGGTGTCTCATGGGAAACAACATGGCAACCTACCTTGGCAACATAATATTTACCGCCGGTAACTAGGAAGTAACGGCCGTGTTTCTGAGCAATTAAACTGTCAATCACGGCTAAATATGACGTAATTTCCTGCCCTAAGCCCCGCCCACCACACACACACACAAATAAATCTTCCCGCCGGGGATTTCCCGCGCTGACAATTCATACATACCCGCCGATGCCGTGACTGGGGGGTCTCGTCCGCTTCTGTTTACTTCCGGGTTTTCGGCGATTTTCAGGTCATAATTTACCCTTTCCTCCAAATCTTTACCCATATTCGATGTTTGCTTCCTAAACTAGATCTGTTTACCTTACTTATCCAGTAGTTGTTCTTTCTTGACCTTTTTTTTCTAGACCATCAGGCCTTGTATAGCTAACATATGTTTACCTAGTAATTTCCACTTGTTATACACAAACGACACGCTAGGGGGGACTGTAAAAAGATTGGTTTATTGATTTCGTTCATTATTCACCAAAATACATTGCAGGCTAATTCTACATAAGTTGCCCAAGTGATTTCTGGTAAGTGTTTTAAATTGCAATTGTGTATATTTACATAGATTTTTAAGGTAATTAGATATGTAGTGGTAGGGAGGGGGGTATAATGACAGCTCTACACTGTGAAAATATTGCTAAGTTGTGCCGTTTCTGCGGGGAATTTGTCCTTACCAAAAAAGAGAAAGTTCAAAATCTTCAACCAAATAGTTGTTTTAAGTTTGCAGACAAGATTCAAAAGGTTTGGGGGGTTGACGTGGGAAAAGATAGAAAAGAACAACACCCCCCCTACTTCTGTAATAGTTGCAGGGCTAGGCTGTACAAGCCACCAAAACACTCTCCTCAGTGTACCTAAGACGCGCTTTCTTTCCCCCAGCAAAGATCTCATTTTAATATTATAATGACATTGAAATGAGCAAGGTGCGAGTAGAAGATCGTAAATATGCAATAGGTATGGTGATAATTGCTGTAGCTTCACCACCCACTGCCCCTCCTGCTATTTTACATTTGTATGTGCTAACTTCACACCCTCTTTGTATTTTCAGTGTTCCATGTTTAATAGAAGACTTCATAGCTTGAAACATGCTTGAGAAGAAAGTAAAAATGAAAAACATTTTCTTAAATACAGCATGTATCCACCAGATCTAACTCAAGTCTATATAACAGGGTCTTACAAATTGGCGATGGAGCCCCGACTTCAACTGTGCGAGGTTATAAGCTCCTTGATTTCAGCCATCTTCAGACAATCTTTGTTCTCCATTTTAGTACCAATACATAGTGTATTCCGAATTCCAGGAGATTATATTACCGACTAATCAAGGAGGTAAATTTGTACTAGCGTTAAACGCATTGTGTGAACCATAGAGGTAGAATTATAACCTACTCGTGTGAACGAAGACCCATAGCACGCTGTATAGGTCCAAAGATATAGCAAGGAGGTTATAATCTCATAGTCCTCGGTTACATGTATTTAGCCAGCGTGCGTTGCTCAATGTCCAACTGACAAGGGCGGACAAGGCCTGTGCATTATATTTAGCCTCTACCAGGCTTCGGAAGGTAGCAGGAAAGAGTAAGAAATCGGTTGATAACATGCACCCGGGCGTGGCAAAATGTACTTTCTAGCAGACCAATCTCTATTTGGCCAGTTTCTAACATTTTCAGCCACCTCCTAAAGACTGGTATTTAAAAGGCTACTGTGAGAGACTACGATGGCCATAGTTTAAAAACAGGATTCAAAATGACCATTTTATGTGCTAAATGTTCTTTAGTGGCCCCTATTATTAAAGAAAAACTAGTACCACCACTATGTAGCAAATCAAAGCTACCATTATGTAACATTTCACGTCATCAAGATTAAAAGTTAAAGCACGTACATGCGCTCAAAATAAACATTCTGAAAACGGAGGGATGACAAGAAACTACATGAACTGTATAATGGTATAAGCAAGGAAGTTTAGGGCAGGACATGGTCGTAGGTGCATGTTTGGAGCCAGACAAGTCAATACACATCAAACGATTTTTCATCTCACTGGGCCAGGGTTAAAAGTCTGTTAGAAATTTTCTTCAGATGAATCATAACACATCTAGCTATCTTCTGCCCAACAGGCAGAGCTGTTGTTCAGGTTCATAGCTGCTATGTATAAAACTACATTTCAAACCCAGAAATTTCATTCGAGGAGTAAGAAACAAATGTTTAAAAACAAAAACTTTTGTGGTAAAGTCTGAATTTGAATGGATACATGCTGCCGTCTGCCCGCTATGCATAATTAAAGATAATTGCCTGTAATGGCCTTGAGTGGAGGTGCGAAAACAATCAATTTCATTCACAGTCATGAGGCTTGATAAAGATTGACAGGTCAAGGAAGGAAATCGACCAGAATTTAGAGTTTTAAACTTTAAAGCCCGAGACCAAACTCTTCCCATTGGGTTACAAAGTTGAAATCGGGTGCAAACAATGAGTAAGAAGTTGGTTTCTATGAATCGGTTTTCAGAAAAACTACTTTATCCCCGTATATCTAGGTATTGGTAGATAAAGTCATACCTACCCCCTAGATTTCTACCAAAATGGACTATATTTCAAAATATTTTCAAATCTAAGCTATATTCTTCTTTTCTGGAAACCGATTCCTATAAAGTGCATATCTCTCCACATTCTCTGAAAGTTTTGTATTACAATTCTGAGCAGAAGGGTTTGGTCTAGGCTGATTTTATATAGTCACAATGATCTAATATTATTATTATTTATGGAACAATTATGCAGATTTCGAAGGAAGAAGTAGTTATTTAGAATCAGTGGTATTTCATCTAAGTTACTTCAAAAATTGAAGTTGATTGGTCACGCCAAACTTGAGATACATGCGATTTCACGGGTAGCTCTGTATCACCCCCATTTTAGTCTAAAGCGCGTCTTAGGTACACGGAGTCACCCAAAAAGGGTTTCTTGGTACAAACACACTTATGGAGATGAGTGCCGCCACTGTGAAAAGGTTGGGAAAATGTCTAGGGGGGGAAGGCGTAAAAGGGGGAAGTCATCTGGGAGGCCGAAGGCCCCCAAGGAAAACAGCCCCAAGGAAGACAGCCCCAAGGAAAACAAAGAAAGTCCCCAGGCAAAACAGTCAAAACAGCAGCCAACAAGTTCAGCACCCCGTCCTGTACAAGTCCTTATGGTAATACCTCCACCTCCTCCCCCTTCTGTTTTGATTTTACCACCAGTCACGGTACAATCAAACTGTAGTTTTGGGAAAGTCACGGTTACGCTCGATGAGGAAGGCCCTCTGTCCCCGGATGAGGACATGGCCTTCACAGCAATGCTGAGAAGAAAGCTGGAGGGCAGCAGTGACAAAACATTTGTTGCCAAAACTGGAGGAAAGGTGAGTAAGTTTTTCTTAAAAGGCTTGGGATGGTAAAGTATTATAAATATAAATTTTAGCACTACAGGACACTGTCTTTCAAAACTTGGGAAACAGCATTTTAGATCCTACCCTCCTACCTTTCTTGTACCCAGGTACTCAACACTTCATTGAAAATTTCTGCTGATGCATTTGCCATTCAGTGGGTAATTGATGTGTCAATCATATCACAAGTCATGGTAACAAGTTATGTTCAGAAGGGCACAAAAACACTTGTAGTTTTGGGAAGTCATTGTTGGTACATTGGTGTTAAGGGAGGCATGTCAGTTATTGTACCTACCCCTTTCTACTATTTTCTGTATGCCATACATTGTACCAGTTACAATTGTTATGCAATAAAATTGATTGTGACATCCCTTTTTTAGCAACACATGCTTATCTAAAAATCTCCAATCTCTAGCCAATGAGATTCATGCATACACCGCAACTTGAGAAGACAAGCACCGATGCAGCCCCCTCCACTGTGGCCAAGAGGGCACGTATGTTGGAGTCTATGAGAGAGCAGGTGAGCGGTGGGAATGGTGAACACCAGCTGATGGCTGAGATGAAAAGGTACCCCAAGGATCAGCTCTTCCAGATGCTGGACAAGGCAGGCCTGGCACAGATCCGCATTCCAACAGGGCACCTGCTGGGGTTGAAGACAGACATTCAAGTGAACCATGGCCAGTTGAGAAAACTGAAAAGGTACATCTATATTTTCTTTCCCCAAGACATTTGATTTCCTCGTAGTCAGATTTAAACCAAACAAATATGGATAGGGTGGAAGAAAAAGAACAAGCCATTTACATATAGAAAAACAAAGTGGGTGATTCTGAGAACCAAGACACTACTTGGCATGACCTTAGAAATCCTTATTCTAAAAACACATTTGTGGGGAGTATTTTATTTTTTGGAGGATTTTATTTTTTGAAAACAAAGTTTAACTTAAAGCTAAACCAAGTATCTTCAACCTTAAATTCCTCACACACAGAAAGACTTTTATCATAAGATGAGTTATGAGAGCAAGTCACATTTTCTCCAATTGCTATGAATAAGACAATGTAAGTCAGCTGCATAGAATGAATGTTGTGAGACTTGGCAATTAAATACATTCTCTGTTCACTTTGTTACAGATGGCTTGATCAGTACGGGGTTGCCACTGAGTCGGAGAGGCGCATGAGACAGACTACTGCTAACCTGCTGTCTGCATACGAAGTGACTGCTGAACTGCTCCCCTTCTCTGTGAAAACAGATGATGACGAGGTCATCATAGCACTGCGGCCTTGCGCCTACATCTTCTCCCTGCCCAGTGCTGTCTTCGACTATCTGGAAAGGAGCAAGAGGGCAAAGTAAGGAATATTTTATAGAACAAATAGTTGAACTTTGACAGGACTCAGAAGTGCAATATTGAAGAGAAATTTGTTTCTACCTTTGCTTATATATTGGCCCTAAAGCTGATTTTTGTGACATTAATACTGTCCCTTGCAGGACTCTGGAGTGGCCGGGCCCCACAATGACGGATGAAATCTGGTTGAAGATAGGGGGGGACCATGGGGGTGGTAGTTTTAAGATGGCATACCAACTCCTCCACAAAACCCACCCCAACACAGTTGCGAACACCACAGTCTTCGCCATCTTTGAGGCGAAGGATTCGAGAGACAATTTGAAGACTGCCCTTGGACGCTACAGAGCTGAAGTGGAGGCTCTCCAGAAAGAGAAGTGGCAGTAAGTTGACATTCATGCATCATTGCACATACTGTTAGAAACTGCCCTAATATTGACCCAATGATACAATGAAAAGACTAATCTGCTAGCTGCATGCTAGCCAAGCACATGTGCAAAGTCTGGAATTAAAAACCTATTGTCTATTGAGAAAATAAGAGCTTGAATTTGTAATCAAAAAGCGATGTTACTAAGGATAGCTATCTATAATCATTACATTACCAATAAATGATGCTATTATCTATGAAACAGTTTCTGAGCAATGTGCTTACTGACAAAAGATAGGATACACACCCGTGTGCAACAGCACAAACAGTAAACTCACATGCTAGTCATCGTTTAGTTAACTCTAAGTAAAATGTTTCAGTTGAATCAACAGACTGTCCTTACCGCAGACCTTAGATCCTTCCACTATCATTGCATCAGTGGACAGCTCTTTTAATTGCTATTTTCCATAGGTCTGTGCCCTATTAAGATTAATTTTTTTAAAATCAAAATTAAGATAAACTTATGTACTGTACTTGCACTCAGTGATATTTTCCAACCGCTTTTTGCAGAGGTGAGGGTGGACATGCGTACAACCTGCGTGTCTTTATCGCAGGGGATTACGCATTTCTGAGTACCATCTACGGTCTGTCTGGTGCATCTGGTGAGAACATTTTTTCACAGCTAAATAAATGTAACCTTGAAGGACGTATAACTAAAATAAGCATATTAAGGTTTAAATTTTATGAAGATAAAATGTAGGAAGTTCACAGTGAAAGGGCAAAGCTTTTTGCATGGCCAGCCACAGTAAATACCATGTAATGATTTTTTGTAGCAATTAAAAATACTAACTTAAAATGCAGAGTTTCTATTGCTAACTGACCTAGAAAGAAAAATACAATTTAATGGAAAACACTAATGGACTTTGTCTTGTTGATTCTGACACAGGCTCCCACCCGTGTCTCTGGTGTCAGATTAGGAAGTCTGAAATAGACGACCAGGACAGTCAGAGGTTGAGACTGCCCCCACGCACGCTAGAGAACATGGCCCAGGACTACTGGGAGTTCCTCCATGAGGGAAGGGGGAATATCAAGCACGCCCAGAACTATCACAACATCATAAGTCCACCCATGTTCAGGGTTTCGATAGAACAGGTGAAAATCATTTTAAAAAGATGAATTTGATCAGTTCAAAAAATGTTAAATACCTGTGACTTTGCTTGAGTATACATTTGAAGAGGACAATGGCTAAACACCTATAACTGCTTTCTGGGGTTGACATGAAGCTATGTACCTAAACTGCTAAAGTGATTATGATTGTATCATTTATGATCAAAAGAACTAAAAGAAAAATGTTCTTGCCCTTCCCTTTGAACCCCTTTTCTGTACAGGTCATTGTGCCAGGGCTACACATAAGCCTAGGTATATTTCACCGCCTGTACACTGAGCTGGAGGCCACATTGCAGGGGCTGGACAGAAAGGTCGAGAAGTACCTACACATGATCATCCGGGACGGTGAGACGGACAGGGAGGAGATTCTGGACGACCCACACCTTGCTCGCTTTCAGGTAGTGATGCATACCTAAACCCAATTTTAGGTTCAGGTCCGGATTCAAGTCCAGAGGTTTAGGTTCAGTTCCGGACTTGTAAGTCCGGAACTAAACCCATGGCATATACAAAGTTGCATGTTGGCAACCTTGCAATGTTGTCTGGGTGAAACTTTGGCCACATAACATAGAGGCTGACACTTGACAGTGCCCGATGGCAATGTTTTCTGCATTTTGCAGCGCAGATTTTACAATCTACAGAAGGTTTTAGGTGGTTTGGACAGAAAAGGGGTATGTGAAATCGTCTTTTATGGTAATAAGTCCGGACTCGGTTCTTGACTTTTGGGTTTTTTTGGACTTGAACCTAAACATTCTTACAAGTCCGGATCCAAGTCCAGTGAACTGGTATGCATCACTACTTTCAGGCCTACGTCGCCGCCATTGACAAGGCCCAGGTGTACGAGGAGCAGGCCAAGGAGCTGCAGGAGGAAATTGAAGAGCAAGAAACCCAGTTGGCCTGGCTGGCGTACGACAACCAGGGTGTGAACAAGAACATGCATGAGGTGGTCTTCAAGGAGGCCACTTCCATGGTCACTGCTCTTATTAACCGAAGAGACAATCTGGTAAGTCAAGCATAACCAGGGTGCCTTACCAAATTTGAATTTACCAATGTGCTTTTTGAAAAATTAAAATTTGTACATTAAACACACTTGTCCAATGATCTACATGTACATGAACAAGATAATAAACTGACAGTGACACAGATGATAAATAAAAATGTCAAAGTGGCATACTTACACTATGCAAGAACTATAGCTCAGGCTGTGGTGACTTCCCTCTGCTTGTTCCATTGTAGTTTCTTTCCTTGAGCAAGTCCTCTCTGCTTCTCCTCCCATCCGGAAACTGCTTCTCACCCCGTTTTACTGCTGACTACCTAGACCGTACATAAAAAAGCATCCATTGTTAAAATTAGCCTTGTACATCTACTGACTGGTTGCTAAAATTTTGATCTGTCACCTACTGAGAATTTATGATTTGTTTTTACAGGAAAGAAAAGCAGGAGCGATCCTGACAGAAGCATCTCTGAAGCCTGGCAAAGGACCATTCTGCAGCAAACTGGACCCTGTCCTTCAGGAGTTTCACGTCCAGCGCCAAGCTTATCACGGGAAGTCCTTCATCGGAAATCACGTGGACAAGATGCTTCAAGTAAAAATGCATTTCTAAAGAAAATTCACATTCAAATGCATACTGTGCCTTTGATGCAAACGTTTTTTTGTTGTAAATGTTTAAGAGAAAGTTCACAATGACATTTAAAATTTAATTTATATTTACATTTTTAATAGTGCCCCTGACCCCAATGTGTGTCTTGTTTACATGTATGTTCCCAGGATAAGCCAATAGAGGCATTGACTGGGGTTGTCGAGAAAACAGTGACAGAAATCCTGGATGAGCACCCAACTTTCCCGCTGGCACTGTTGTCCGCGGCAATGAAGGCTTCCAAGAAGTACGAGAAGCTGTTCAAGCTCTTTGGGTCTTGCCATCGCTTATATTCTACCAGTAGTACGATGGGAGAGAAGGAAGCTGACGAGCTAAGTAAGTGAACAGTTTTATCATCTCTGAATACCAACCTTGTTTGGCACAACTAGTACTACATGTAACTGGTAAATTACACCAACCCTTTTCTCTAGCTGGGCCATGTGTCACTATCACATTGTAATTTACCATCTTTCCTTGTATATAGACAAATAAAAGCTAAAATAAGTCCTATATTCCCCTCGCTCAGAAAAAAACAAACTACTTTTATACATGTAACAGACTTGTCCTCTTTACCTACTTCTGATAGAGAGCAACATCACTGCCTTCATGGACACATACCGTGAAGAGTCCCGGACAGTGAGCATCAAGATGCACATCCTCGAACACCACGTGGTACCTTGCATCCGGAGATGGGGATTTGGCTTGGGGTTTCTGGCTGAGCAAGGCATTGAGAAACTCCACTCCCACTTCAATAGCTTGGGTAGGTCAACTAGGTCCATCCCAGATCCAGTTGCACGCCTAAAATCCACCTTAAACAATCACCTCCTGACAGTCAGCCCTGACCATGTGGGCCGGGTGCCCAAGCCTGTGTCACAAAAGAAAGAAAAAACAAAGGGTCAGTGATGTAATGATACTTGCTAACAGCTTGCATAAGCTGCACTGAATGTTGTTATGAGGAAAATTCCTCTTATATAGTAGCATTTGTTACTACTTTTCAGCAAGTGCTTTCTAAGTACTTTCTATTAACTTTCCCAATAAAGCACATGTACTGTTTACATTGATTAACCCGTTAAATTTGGTGCCTTTCTTATTATTCGCTTTTGCACCATCAGTCTAGCTAAGAAATACAACAGAGCTTATAGAGCTGCAAAGGAATTGCAATAAAGTAATTGCATTTAGATACATTTGTACACATATACACTGTACCAACAATACCAGTAATAACTTCCACTTACTCAGAGTAAGCTTTCTAAAGCCCTACATAGTTTAAATATTGAATCACTGAAGTGGCAATGTATATGCTAACCACGTCACATGTATACTTTACTGTTCTCCATTGTTAATGAAATACAATGTAAGAATTCAAAGACAAATAAAATTTTGTCAAATTCATAACTTGATGCAGTTTGTTGTAAAGTTATAGCTGTTATGCAGAGCTGTTGTTATACTGAAATGAACTGTTATGCAGTCACAAAAGGGTACATGTAGCATGTATACAATTTGTTCATGAGAATGGATTGTGTAAATTTATGTCACAGTTATATCAGCTCAGTGAAACTTACATTAGAAGGACATTCAGAATAGGACCATGACTGTGTTTTGAGTGTAATTTAGTTAAAATCTGTTCCATACATTTGTGTGTAACTGTGCACACCTATATAAGTTGTAAATCATTTTGTCTACTGACTTCTTACATTCTGTACAAAGATGAAGTTGCTATAGAACAGTATTCTATACAGTTAGAATGGGAACGCTCAATCGACCAAGGAGGTTCAAAAAAGGAAAAGTACTATTCAGGATAGTCAAAATGTAAACAAACGAGGCCTAACGTTCCCACATGTATTTAATTCACCACAAATCTACAAAAATCCTGTGTTATTGCGTAAAAATATGTTCAACGTCACGTGGGGTAATACAAGAACTCGTTAATACGGCTAAAACATACCTAATACGTACCTCTTTTTCTGCGATTTCCAGCGGGGTGGAAAAATAGGTTCAGGAAACAAACCCTCCATCAAAACACGTGTAATCAGTTGAATTTCACATTTCCTGGCGTCTTTTTCGCCAGCGAATTGGATAAACGCTGCTTAACTCGGCCTGAACTTGACCTTGACGTACCGCAGTCTTGTTAGTACCTGTGTACGCTGGCGGCGCTTCGTCTCATGCACGTATCGCCCAATTTTTACCGGACAAACCCAGGAGCCGACACACACAAAGCTGACAAATATGGCTGCCTTCACTCCCAAAATCAAGCCGTCATGTGACCGCATTAGCCAGCTATGGTTGGTCAAAAGTGAGGTATAGCGAACAATGGAAGAGCAACCTGCAGTTCTATTTTAGCCGCATGGTGGCGCATAGCGAAGTTTAAAAATTTGAATTTTCGCGCATGCGTATTCTAAAGCGCTGAATGGGCGGGGCCGTGCCTATAAGGAACAAGGCTGTCTGTACATACGGTGTGAGGTGGTTGATAATTTGGTGACCAAGGTACTCGAGGCTGATATGTTGTACAGTTGTGGTGATTTGAATGATTGAGTGATGTTTAACTTTAGCCCTTTAGCCTGCGAAGTTAGGCATTTGGCACCAAATTTGTATTGGTTATGGGATCAGGCAGCAAGGAGAAGGTTAATTGTGGTGTTTGGTGTGATGTGATGTGGTGTGGGGGGAATTAAAATTGTAGTCAATTCTAGCAAGTTGTAAAACAAGAAAACCAAAACACTGGTGGAATGTCTTTCCAGGTTGAAATGGTGAGCTCGGTGAAGTGTCCCCGTGACATGGCCAAGGTTATCGATATCGACTGGGCGTCATCCGACAAGCCGGTATTGGCGTGCGATGATGGTACAGTCCGAGTTAGCGACATGGACATGAAGAACTCCTGTGCACCAGTCACTGAGAGAGACATCACCGGTAAGGACTGTACAACCCTACAACTCTGGTATGTGTGACGAAACTTTGAAATAGAGTACAAATTCTCAGACAGAAATTAAAGGTACTGTGATATTGAGCAAAGCTTTTCCACTGCATTTCTAACCTTTAAAGCAAAATTAATGAGTATAAACCTGTAGTGCTTTCCATGAAGTGCCCATAGAACTTTAAAAAATTTCGAAATTTAGAGTGACCAGTGTAGTGAAAATTGCAGTGAAATCATCAGAACTAATAGAAAGTAGTGATGTGCATTGGGATATAAACAGATCTAGTTCTTAAATCTCTCCTTGTAGAAAAGCTCAAAAAAAGATTTCATGATATGATTATGCTTTTGTCAAACAGTTGTTCCTATTTCTTTTCTTTTTTGCAGAGCCAGTATTCTCACCTCACCTGGTGCCCCCTGCTGCAGCCTTTACTGTGAAGTACCTCCTACAGCACCAGCCATGGAACACAGACTACAGCTACTCACTCACTGACTTGTACGTAGTGTCCATAGTTGCTGAGGAGGGGAGTGATGTAACCACAGAGGGATAGGAAATAGAGTTCAGAGGTGGTAGAATAACTGCAGATGACAGTGACAGGAAATAGAGTTTGTAGAATTTGTGGATTTATCAAGTATATTTCAAGGGGAAAAAACCTCTTGCAAAGGTCTTCTTTCTTTATTGAAATAATGAGAGAGAACAGTAGATTACTCAAATTAAATGTAGAATATTTCAATGTTTTAGGAAGTTGGCTGACTTGCATACACATAAGTCATGTATATTAAGTACATGTACTAGCATTGTTGTGTTTAGGACATTTACCATACATGTACATGTATGTGGACACCTTACTCATACTGTTGACTATTCACCCTGTTTTGTGCTTCAGGCATGGAAAGAATGGTGAAGAGTTACAGAGAATAGTAAATGAACAGCTCCAGCTTATTCCAAGGTGAGACTGCAGTACTCGTGATTAATTAGAAATTGACATACATTAAGTTTTTTAGGTTTTGACTTTATGAATTGAATGAAAAAACAACCTATTTTGGCCAGCCAAATTAAACATTAAATTTGGTCAATTTTTTTCACACAAGATGACAGTGAAAGAATTTTTTTTTCATGTTGAAGTGACCTACAGGAGTACCTCCCCGTGTGCCCATATGGAACAGCCCAGAGATGTCTGATTGTGTCCAGACTCTTTGGGGATGAGTCTGAGCTGCACTTCTGGACAGTGGCACTCCACAACCTGCGCAGGGAACAGGCAAGACTGGCCGCTGGGATAGATAAGGTAGGGAGATACGACGTTTGATTCAGGGCTCTAGCCAGCTCAATTTTTTTCCGTCAGCCAAGGTTCATGATTAGACCTGAGGGGAGAGTGCTTGCAATTTAAGGGCTCCGGGGACAAATTTTGGATTTCCCACATTTTGAGAGGCAATGTATCGGGTTTAGAGTGGTTCTTGGTGGTCCTTTGGATGTTTTTATATTTTTATCCAAGACTTTTGTCAATTTTGTCCTTCAAGGTTGACGGATTGGTTAAAATATTTCTGTCATATGTCACGAAGTTCCTGCAATTGACAGAAAAATGGGTGCTAGCTAGAGCCTTGCATGGATTGTTTGATTGATTGTTTGATTGATTGATTTGTTGACTGATTGACTGATTAATTGATTGATTGATTGATTGGTTGATTGCACTACAGGACCTGCTGCCGTCCACCCCCACGTCAGACATGTTCCTGCCCGTGGACTCGGCCAGCAGCAGCCAGGGGGACCTCCTGGCCTCAGAGAACACGGGGGGCAGCAGTGGAGACACCACCACGTCAGGATACTTCCCACTGGATGCACTGTCACTGGACACTTGTTACGACATCCTCTGTGATCAGCCCTTCTTTCAGGTACAGTGTTGTTTTTTTATCATCTTTATTTATTTCAATACCTTTTAGCCAAAACTGGATAATCTTACAGGGTCCATACAAAAATAAAAACATACATAGAACAAATAACATGGTAATAGAACACACATGTGGCACAGATTGTTGTTTTTTTTGTCAGAAACAATCATTGTCATTTCAGTCAGAAATTGCATCAACTTAGTCACTTTGACCAGTAACTAGACTTTCTTTTTATTAATTGGCAAGGTTGGAAGAAGAATGTGTTTTCATGCCATCATTGAAAATTACTTTCTTAACATTTTGTTGCTTTTTGTTCTCACAGAAATACCAGCTGGAGAGGATCAACCTACACGACAGTAAGAGAGCAACATACGAGCACACACAGCACTGTGCTGAGAAACTACTCATGCTAGGCCAGGTATGTTCAACTTACATGTGGGGGAAAAGACTCACTGATTATGATTATCATAGACATGGAGATGTCGTGCATCTTCTTTGTAAGGCCGCACTGTTTTGTACAGAAAGCGTTTTTGTATGTGTGTGTAATTTTTTTAAATACATTTTAGTAGATGTGCTCACACCTAAAGCCTTATGATGGATTAGCTACCATGTCAGTGTCAGATACTTACATGCGCCCATGATAAAACTAGCCTTACCCATCTGAAAACCCCCCATCTGACCCACAGAGTGACAGAGCAGTGCAGCTGTACCTGGAGACAGATGCTGACAATGACAACTACTTTTCAGATTCCCTAAGGTAAGCTGCATAGTTACTATTTTTGTGTATTGACAACACCTTCTTTTCACTACAGGCTGTGACCACTGATTGCTCAAGGAATTTCGTTTTTAGAAAGCTTTGTGTGTTTTGTTGCCATACTTTTGTATTGTGCATCATATTCCAGTAAAATGAAAGGTGACACAAATCTAATTTTGGTTGGTCAGAACAGGACCTTGCTTGGTGAGGAAAGGTCCACAAATTTCTGAACTGTTCCCTGCACCTTTTGAATGGAATAGCTTTAGCGAAACCTCAACTGAACAAAGACTCATCTATTCCAGGGCATGTCTCATAGCAACCATCCGGTCCTCGGGAGCCTCCCAGAGCACCATCAAACTGGTGGCCACCAACCTCATCGCAAATGGCAAACTGCCAGGCAAGTAAACACCCTGCTTCCTTCTGCACCTACATGTGTTCCCTCAAGTCTTATTGCCTCTTGGTACAAATTTTAAAGTATTGCTTTGGGTGTCTGAGCTGTTTGTCCAGACACTGTAGGTTGCCAGCATGTGGGTATTGGGAAGATTGACAGGCAGAATGTCAGGAGGTCAAAGACTCAAACACAGGAAATGACCCTTGCTGACAGCCAGAAAGAATAAGAAGTTGACATGGGAGAATTCAGGAAGCCAAGGATTGTATGGACCCTCAAATACACGTATTTCCCGGTAGTCTAAAATCTCTGATTTCTTGTCTTAAATTTAGTGCTAGCAACTAATTTTGATAATGATACTGCACTTAAAGCACACACTCTTGCCAATGGTACTTTCTTGCAAAGATGTTTACTTAACAGTCTCTGACTTCTCCCCACAGAGGGTGTACAGCTGCTGTGTTTGATTGACAAGGCGTTTGATGCCTGTCGCTACCTGCAGGACTACGGGGAATGGGACCAGGCTGCCTGGCTGGCCAAGGTACCGAGGACTGAAATAGCACATTTCCAGCTCATGAAATACGTCAATAGTTTTGCACAAGAGTCTATAACATCATGTTCAGATTTTGATTTTAATGTCATGTTCAAAGTCTTGTAGGATGTCATGGATATTAACTTGTATTGGACCAAGTTACATTGTACATGTTTACTCAAGATGCAAAAATTATTTTAGCAAGAAAAGATTCATGCAAGAGTCTTATAAAATGCACATGTATCTAGCAGACAAGTACCATCACATATTTCTGCCCTTTTAGGCCTCCCTGAACAATGTGGAGTGCTCAGAGGTGATGAAGCGATGGGTGGATCATCTCTGCTCATCTGCTGTCAACTACAAGGTAGGATCTTATTCTATAACCTCAGACATCTGGGAAGGAGAATACCTGTGATTACCTGGTCAATGGTGCTCATTGGTCGCCCCATGTCATGTGACATCCTGTAGGAATCGTCTGGACCCTCAGATTGGCTATGATGTGATATCACAGAAGTGTCCTTGGTGCTGATTGGCTATCCCATGTCATGTGACATCCTGCAGGAGTCGGCTGGACCCTCAGATTGGCTATGTGTTATCACAGAAATGTCCTTGGTGCTGATTGGTTATCTCATATCATGTGTCACCTTTCTAGACTTTATGATGTAATAATATTTAGAAATGTTAATGTTGCTGATTGGTCAGCCAGTTCCTCTTGCCAAACTAGTATCCAGTTCGACTCTCTTATTTTTGATCTAGATCCACTGTGGGTGGTAGACACTAAACTGTGTATGTTTTGTTTTTATAGAGTAAAGCTATCTTGGTGCTGCTATCCCTTGGACATTTTCTAAAGGTGTTGGAACTATTGTACAGGTGAGATATGAACTTTCTAGGTTGCTAATTTGTATGAAAGTGCTCTCTGATTTCACTGATAAAAAACTGAATCTGACTCAATTCTCCTGATAATAATAATGATAAACTCCTGTTTCTTCCAGTATGCGACATTTTGACCGGGCGGCTCTGTTTGCTGAAGCCTGTCTGGAGTTTGGGGTTCTCATCCTGAATGAAGAGACTAATATCCTTTCTGTAGAGGTTATCTTGCCATCAACTTCAAATTAAATCAAAATCTCACTCACTCACTGTCCGGTTTATTGTCTGTTGTTCCCCGTCTTCCGAGGGTTAGACGTGCTTGCACAGTACATCTGGGGCTTGATGGCAGCACGCCACTTGCCTCTGTCCTGTGGGTCAATTTTATCTAGGTTCAGGTGGTGGAGGTCCTCCCGTACGTTGTCATACCATTTCCTTCTAGGGCGGCCACGGGGGTTTGGACCCTCCACATCCAGTGTGAGGATCCTCTTCGGCCATCTGTCCCTGTCCATTCTCTGGAGGTGGCCGTACCATCTAAGTCTGTTATACCTAACTGTGTCCTGAATGTTATGGACTCCAAGCCACCTATGAAGCTGTTCAGTTGACTGGCAGTCTGCCAGTCTCCTGGAGCACATCCATCTTACCATGGCCCTGTCACTCCGTGCTAGTCTCTTCATGTCCTCTGCTGTCACGGGTCATGTCTCAGAAGCGTAGAGTAGGACGCTTCTGACACAGGAGTTGAAGACATGCCCACGGTTTCTATGTAAAATGTTTTAATGTTTTAATGTTAATTTGAAGCCTTCTTGAATATTGGGTTGTTTGCAAAGGATATGGTGTCATTGTTCTGAACTTACAGTGTCCGTAGCAAAAAAGAAGAGCTATGATCCATATAGTATAGTCCATTCAATTTGATACATTTAATATGTAAATCGTGACAGCAAAGATGTAACCGTGACTTACAATACAATCACATTTGCTGTAGGTTGTCCTATAATTTTGATGCTGTATAATGTTTTTATGATGACGTTTCAGACAGGTTGGGACTGGAATAACCACTGCCAAAGGTCAAATACAAGTCTTTTTTGGCAAGTCTGTCCCAAGAATGTTACTTAACTTACTTTGCAAGCGTAACATAGGGCCTTATCCTGTAAACACTGTTACCTCCCTTGACTGTGACCACGTTCCCTGATCGAGGCCATTTTCCTGGAGTACGCTCGCTACCTGCACAACCTGGGCAACCTGCCGGCCATGGAACACTACTGTCACAAGGCAGGGGGCAAGGGTCAGCAGCTGCTGAGGGACGTCCAGACGGAGAACGCTCAGCTTCAGGAGAAACCAGCCGGGGAGGGCGGCGGGGACGGGGGGCAGGACCAGGAGGGAGATGTTGAGACTAGTGAGGGGGTGGAAGGGGGACTATTGTAATCTTAAAAACCCGTAGTTTTAAGATGGTTAAGCTGGCATCACACAATGAGCTTCAGCTGCACTTGGTCACCAGAAATTAAAAATTCCCCAGGAGTCAAAATTATTTTTCACCAGAAAATGTAACCTATCAAGTTGTACAGGGGTCTGTGGGAAAACTTCCTCCGATCCATAAAAATCGTTTGATGAAAGCCAGGCGTATTACTGCTGAAAATGTCATTTAGAGTTCAGTCAGACTTGATATTTCCACAGTGTGACAGGGATGTAAGGGACTACATGTAGTTGACTAAGGATGCTCCAGCTAAGGTTTATTGGAAAAGTTTAGTGGAAAACTTGTAAAAGATTGTCTTTAATTACTGCTTACATTTTGGCTCTTGCATTGATCACTGTTTGTTTCGAAGGCTCAAAAATGACGCCTTTTGGTATCAACATTATATAGATTGTGAATTATATTGATGCAAGCTCATGTCACCTTAGTCCTTAGGTAAATGTAATTTATGAAAGGAGAAATCTGGGAACATCTAGTATATTAAATTGCAAAATTATTGAAATCTAGATTACCTATACAATATTGTAATTGTCACTTGCATAGTTTTCCTCTTTTTGTGGAAAGGTGTTACTATGAGCTGAAGCAGCTCGTTCAACCTTTTTTGCTGAATATATAGCATTCCAATAATACTAATATTATTTCTTCTATTTAATGCTGTACAAAATTGTATTACTGCAAGGATAACCAAGTTGATAACTACAGTAGATAAAAAGAGGACTGGTGCAAATGAACACAGCCGCAGCATTTTGTGACTATATTCTATATTGCAAAAAACTGGAACATTGTTGGAAAAGAAAGTGTTGCTAACATCATTGTGATGTACACATTGTATTGTATAGGAAATTGGCGCCTAGCATTTTATTGGTGTGCAGTTTTTGTTAGGTTAAAAAAAAATAAATTATCATTTTATTGAATATGCCAAATATGAAAACGGGACAATCTGTTGATGTATATTCTTCCAGGGTAAACATGAACAACTACTTAGGATAATTATAGGTCAAATGCTGTAAATATTCCAGTGTTGCTTTAAATAGTCTACATTGTTGATGTATTAGATGCATTATACACATACTAACAAGTATTTCTTGGGAAGAGGTAAAAGCCCAATATCAGATGAGATTCTACTGTTATACGTTGCATACCATTGGGAGTATGTTCAGAAATAAATGTGCAATTATAGTAGGGTCTCTATTATATAGGCCAATTTTAATGTTTTTCCCAATGTGGTACATGCTTCTTCAGGACATGGCTTGTTAATTTTCTTTTATGGCCAAGTATGTTTTATTTTTGTGTAATGTTGTTTTTCCTATTAGATTTGAGGACCAAGGGCAAATATACATGTAGCTTACCGTTAGCCACAATCTTTTTGTATAGTAGATCTACTATTTAGTTCCAACATAATAACTGTCTGTTCTTCCCATCACAGTTCTGTGCACATTAAAAATGTACTTCAAAGTTAACTATGTGCAGGGTTCAACTAAAAATTTAAGTTGTAAAAAAACAACTTGTTATTGAAAATTACTAGTATATGTGGTCAAAAAAGATATAAAGTAGGTTATTCTGGGCTTCTGCAATGTTGATGGCATCTTGACAAAGACAATCCTAGAACAGGGCTAATACTACAAGCAGCTGAAGGTTGATTAAAACTATCCAGCTGGATGCATGAGTACATATTATATCCATCACTGGTTGTACAGTTTACCACCAGGGAAACTTCTTGCATTAAGGAGGAACCATGAAGGACTTTGTCCCCCCATGTATACATGACATAAGGACCTATCTCTGTCCATCCCTGCTGCCTTGTCCAACGCTTGTCTTAATTTGCATCACATTGAGAATACTCAGCGCTGCAAAGATTGCAGCACTTTAAACTAGGAATAGCATTTACTATTGTAATATAATAGTCATCCCAACTTCTTTCCATCTCTTTATTAATATCTTTCAAAACTTGCATATTTTATGTACATAAACATGACTAGAAGTCAAGCAAGTAACTAGACCATTCCAAAAGCTGTACAACAGGATGGTCTTGTCACTAACAACCAAGTTATGTTCATTAAAATGTATATGACGAGAAACCCTCATGAAGACTTGGTGGTTTCTAGTGAATTGCAGGTGTTCGATATTGATGTGCATACTGTTAGTACGTATGCAAAATACAAAGTACTCAAATGTAATGTTGGCTATTTCCTGCTACATATACTAGTATTACACCTCTATCAAACGCGCATAGTGACCTTAGTATGCAGTACCAAGTTGCTGATCTGAAGATGCTCACAGATAACAAAAAGTAGAACTAAATGGTCTTCAACACTTGCTAATCACCTTTGGACACATTTCAATTTTTTTTTCTTCCATTACTCATGATTCAAGAAAACCACTGCTGTCTGGTCAAGTAGCTTTACATTGATGTATTCATCTGGGAAACCATGACAAAAAAAAAAAAATACAATTTTTATGGACATTTTCAGTTTTGGCAAAATATCCAGGCCTTTCAGACACTTGCAGGAAGTGATTGATAGTCCCTCACTGTGTCATCATACGTGGTGCAATACTCATGGCCATCAACTCCTGGAACAGCAGTTTGCAGGCGTACGGGATCCTGATCTTTGAAACCTGCAGGGGGACAAGAAAAAAAAAGGACGCCTGGGTGAGGACATGGCCAAAGCCAACACAATGTAGTCTAACAGACATCTCTTAAAACGGTATCATTTGGGGAGTGCCACATATGTACATTGGCACAAGTTAAAATCCTAAACACAGACCAAAGCTGAGGCCATAGGTTTACCTGAGTTTTGTTCTTGCAGCCCCTGCATTCGAAGGTTTGGTTCCTCAGGTTGGCGATGGCGATCAGGCCGCACAGGTTACACACGTGCACCTGGTACGGGTCCGACACCTCGAACAGCCGCTCCCGCAGGAACTGTGCCGCACCGTGGGCGATCTGACAGTCACGTTCCATCTCACCGAAACGGAGACCTCCGTCCCTGGTGGGGAACACAACTACACGTCAGCCAGTGTAACCTTTAGCATGCTAACTAGCAATTTCGCCACTAATTCTCCATTATTCGCAGGGTTAGGCAGCAGAGAGAAGGTTATTTAAATTGGGACTATCTTGATAAGGAAATACTTCACGCATGGTGCACAGGCTAGCAAACTCCCAGAGAAGCATCAACATGAATATTTTGCAATCACTCTTTTTTCAGAGTCTGCCTTATCAAGATTTCATCACTTGCTCCTCAAGCTTTCCCCTGCCAAAGAACTTTAAACAACAACACAGTATAGCCAGTTTAGAACACAGGTAGTCAGTGTCCAGCTGACAGCCTCACCTTGATCTGCCCTCCATGGGCTGTCTGTTCAGGTTCTGCACAGGACCCCGGGCACGAGAGTGGATCTTGTCGTCCACCATATGCTTGAGGCGCTGGTAGTAGGTGGGGCCAATGAACAGCTGTGTGGCGAGCTTCCTCCCCGTGAACCCATTGTACACCACCTGGGGATAGTGGCATTGGAACACTTTAACTTCCATACATACGACCTTGATACATGGGTCAATAGGATACCGTAGATCTTGAAATGTCTGCAGTGGTTTTATTTTTGTGGTGACCACTTACTGTGAAATTGTGGCACCACAAAATGTGTTTTGCAATTCTACTGTACTACAGAACTGTTTTATCTGTGAAATCCTTCTTTTCCTCCAATTGTGAAGTAAGGCATACTTCCATCTCAAAAGATGACAGTAGCACTCTAGGTTTGGTGTTCTGTTGTGTACAGCATCTAGTGTGAATTATCAGCCATAGTTTAATTTCTGAAACTGAAGTAAAACCGCTTGGAAAGTACATGCATTTACAGTATCTGATCCTGACCACAGGGAAAAACATATGATAGTTCTCAAGTTCTCAGGCCAACTTAGCTGAAGAGCACGTCAACTTGTATACGTACCTCGTTTCCTCTCAGATGGTAGCCGTACTCGTGGAGGAGGTTGGAGATCTTCTGCACGTTGACAGCGTCGTTGAAGGGCGTGGCGTCGCCGATCTCGCCCTTGTTGGCCGACACCTTCCCCTGCAGACACTCGATCAGATGGCCGATGGTCATACGTGACGGCACGGCGTGGGGGTTGATGATGATGTCAGGACTGATGCCTTCTGCTGTGAATGGCATGTCCTGGGGACATGGTTTGGTAGGGATAAATGTAACTTAGTGAGGCAACAGCAAGGAAATTTCATAGATGACTTGCATTGATTTTTGCCTGATTTTGGGGGGGGAAAAATTTTTGTGCCTCTCTGGTGGTACCTTGAGTGTAGTTGAAACACTAACACCAGTCACTGGTAGCTTTGAGTGTAATTACAGTGATACTAGCTATATAGGCTATAGCTTATTAAGCTACTGCCCTAGTGTCACTTTCTGCATTCCCTGAATACAAGTATAAAAGACTTGTTGGCTGTGATACCATGTCCTGTTGCTTCAATTCTTGTTACAGAGTTGATGGTCTGAAAATTCTTCTCATAGAACAAAATACTAAAATTAAATCATCTAAAATTAAAAAAGACACTAAAAATTAAAACGAAACAGCAAAAGGGTTTGTCTGACTGAAAGCTGAAGTTTCTGCCCACCTCCTGCCTGTACGTGATTCCACACGTTCCCTTCTGACCGTGCCGACTGGCGAACTTGTCACCGATCTGCGGGATGCGGACAGAGCGAACTCTGACCTTGCAGAACTTGTAACCCTCCTGGTTAATGGACACCATAACCTGGGGGTGAACATGACAATGGACATCAATACTACTACAAAGTTACAATGACTTATGCTAAAGGATACGCTCAGAAGCTATTATAGTATGCACAGATACAAACTATCTTCTTCATTACAAATAATTTCTCCAATACTCCAAGACAAAAGTGCAATCATACTCTGATACCATGAAAACCAGCATATACATTAGTATGTGGATAGTTACTAAAGATAGTACACTAAGTACAAAGGTCTGACCTGGTCCACAATGCCTGTCTCACTGCTGCGCAGGAAGGTGCTGGAGTCTCGCTTGGTGAACCGCTTGGTCGTACTCTCAAGCTGGGGACAAATAACCAAATCAACGTGACACATTCACACACTGGAACCTTATCATGTTGCACTAAATTATACATCGGTGAAGTTTTAAAACTCCCTGAGAAGCATCAACAAAAATATCTTACAATCACTCTTTTCTCAGAGTCTGCCTTATCAAGATTTCATCATCTGCTTCTCAACTTTCAAAAAGTGCCCTACCTGCTAAGAAGTTATGAGTGTTCAACTTACCTGTCACTTCATTCCTTGTAACCTTTTCAAAGATCTTTACTTTTTTATTTAAAAAAGAGCAACAAACTTTTCCTCTATGTTACACATCTTAAGTGGCAGAACTAGATTCTCCTTACCTCATCTTCGTTCTCGGGCAGGGTGACTGTCTTCCCGATGATGACGTCCTCTCCTGACACCCTCACCCCAGGTGCGATGATCCCATCATCATCCAGCTTGTCATAGATGGCATTCCTCATGCCTGTAGGGCGGGAACAGTGACTCACACACTGTACACAAACACTAACACAAGCTGGTATAGTTTGATACACAATAAAGATTTTTGGCACAGAGAAATGTACAAGTTGTTTAGAATCTGATGAGGTGAACAGAAAGCATTTAGAGGTTATGTAACTCTTGGAGAAGCATCAACATGAATATTTTGCAATCACTCTTTTCTCAGAGTCTGCCATATCAAGATCTCATCATCTGCTCCTCAAACGTCAAGTTGCCGACATTTCTCCAGCTGCAGCATTACAAACCGACAAACCTACCCGTGACTTCATCCCTCGTCGGCTTCTCAAAGATCTCCTCTTGGTCCAGACCTTTCTTGGACTCCGACTCCTTGTACGATCGGTAGAACACGCTGCGGAACAGCCCGCGGTCGATGGCGGACGCGTTCATGATGACGGAGTCCTCCTGGTTGTACCCCGTGTACGACGCGATGGCGACGATGGCGTTGATTCCGGCGGGGAGTTCTCGGAAGCGGAGGTACTCCATGGATCGCGTGGTGACGAGGGGTTTCTGTGGGTAGTACAGCACGTGGGCCAGGGTGTCCATACGCACATGGAAGTTGGTGATGTAGACTCCCATGGCCTGCTTACCCATAGCAGACTGGTATGTGTTACGGGGAGACTGAGGAAGGAAAAATCAGCAAGAAATCATTCTTAATACCTTGGTTAAAACCTGCCAAGTCCCTAAAAATCAAAACTAAACTGTAAATCTGTCAGCTTTCTCAGTGGTTGTTGTGGAGACCTCTTCAGTGCAATTTCATGATGTGAATAAGCATTTTCAATGCATTATCAGTATTAATGTAATGCTGAATTGTGCGGCTCTATAACACTGAGAAATAAAACAACCGCAAATTTACAATAGCCTGTGGCATTGTACTACATGTAGTTACTATGTAACAACCATAAACCTACAAAAGGTAGGTAATTCATCCAATTGTTAATTGTCTATTGTCTAGCAGCTAGTTGGGCAGGCCTGGCTGTAAAACACTCTATACAGTGTAATAAATTCAATCAAACTAATCCTGCCAGTGGACTGACCTGGTTGTGATCAGGGAAGGGGATAATGGAGGCACACACCCCCAGGATCATGGAGGGGTGGATCTCACAGTGGGTGTAGGTGGAGCAGTACGCCACGCCCTTGTCCTGCAGGTCATCCGGGGTCATGGCTAACATCACCGTCTCCTCCTCCAGGGTGTCGATGTACTCCACCACGCCCCCCGCTACCAGGTCCTGCCAACTGAGGGAGAACAGGGGAACTGCAGTTTGAGAACATGCTGCTAGGGGGACAAATTCAGTGACGTCTGCGTGACTTGTTTAAACTGTTGGAAGGGGAACGAAAAAAGCCTCTGTTCTGCAGAAACTTTCTCAGAGATCTTCCTGTTTTTGTCTAGGAAGCTTTTCAACATGAATGTTTTACTCACAAAACATTCCAGTGTGAATGCTTCCAACTACCGCCTAGACACTATTTCCTTCATTTTAATTGACCTGAGGGACAAACTTTGTAACCTAAAGTTTTCCTTCTGTTACAGCCTTATTCTCCCCAGAAAGAAACATAAGTAGTGTAGTGGCCTAAATTACAGCAAAGGGGTCTAAATCTCATTGTAGGGATCCCCTAAGCTCGTTATGCTAGCTAGAACATTGTTAGTTACATTTTCTATATCACAAACACCATCTCCTGTGATCAGCAGAGTTGTTCACCTGTAGTTGTTGTACTCCCTCTCCTTCAGCATGTCCACATGGTGTTTCTTCAGCAGGAGCTTCTGTTTCTCCACGATCAGCAGCGGTCGGCAGATTCGCCCTGCATCCGTGAAGATCCGGATCTCCCGCTCCCGGATGTCTCTCACCATGGAAACCTCAGACACGATGATGTCCATCTAAAAAGCAAAACAAAACAAAATTTCTTTATTTTATGGAACCAATAGCCCGCAGTTTGGAAGAGGCTGTCAACTCAAAAAAATTGTTAAGTTCTTTGTGACACAAATGAAGAGCTTTGCACATTGGCGACACCACAACCGTCCATGCCCTCCTCAGTGTTTGGACACAGTATCAACGATTAGCCGAAAGGCCCGGTGCACATCACTCCACCGTACAGTGAGAGCAGTTGTGCAAAGGGCACAACAACAGGCAGGGGATAGAACCCGGGACCCATAATTGCCTTAAAAACAATGACAGACTGGCACAAGTACACTTGCTTGGTAGACAGCCAACTTCAACTACCACTGTTGTGTCACTAGTCACTAGTGACCCTCCCCTACGGTTTGAATCACTGTTATCCTTATATATATTCCTGTTTCGGTTCCTGACCTGTCGTCTGAGTTTCTTGAGCGTGTTCATGAGCTGTTCAGGGTCGCGGTGCACGCCCACCCAGCAGCCGTTCACAAAGATCTTGGTGGCGTTAGCGATGGCGGAGGGAGCCACCTCCTCCAGGTTCTCCATACTCCACTCCTCCAGGAACTCCAGGATGGGAGAGGGCTGAGAACCCACCGAGATGTACGCCATCAGGGCAAGGTTCTTCACCAGACCTACAGCCTGGCCCTGGGGGAACAAGACACATGAAGTTTACCAGTATACTGCAATACCAGCCGCTCAAGTCAGGGGTCTCTGCTGGACAAAAATACCCCTAATATTGAGATTGTTATGAAAACACAGAGATGTACGCCATCAGGGCAAGGTTCTTCACCAGACCTACAGCCTGGCCCTGGGGGAGCAAGACGAGTGAAATTTACCATTATACTGCAGTACCAGTTGCTCAAGTCAGGGGTCTCTGCTGGACTGATCATGCCACTGATTTAGGTTGTTATGAACTCAGGGCTATTAGGGCTATTAGAACACAGTGTCACTGCATGCACAGCACATGTAACTGAAAAGTTATGACAAAGTTGACCACTGCAGTACCAGTTGCTTACCTCAGGGGTCTCTGCTGGACAGATCATGCCCCAGAGGGAGTTGTGCAGCTGTCGGGGTTTGGCCAGCTTGCCGTCTCGACCAATGGGAGAGTTCAGACGGCGCAGATGGGACAGGGTGGAGGCAAACGTCAGTCTGTTCAACACCTGGGGAAAATCAACATACTTAGCTGAAGAATCTTTCAATTTTTCTACAGTTTTGATACTTTTTCCTATTTTGTTTCTTTTATATTAGATTTTAAAATACTATGACAAGGTACAACATGTAGAAAGCCTTTTGACCGTTAAAAAGGAATTGAATTCAAATGCTTTAAAAGCAACATGTCAGTGTAAAAAAGATGGCCAAATGGTTGTCTTTTCCTTTGTGCAAAGATTTTGGACACAGCGAATGGCTGTTTAAAAAAAATCCATTGAACAACAGTAGTCCTCTCAGGAAGAGAGAGTTCAATTTTCATCACAGAAGTCGTGAGAAAATATTTCATCATAGAGGACTTCAAAGTTATGTGCCCTTTTCCACAATGATAAGAGAAACACCCGTTCCCGTATGTTGTGATACGGTGGTACTAACCTGTGACACCCCAGCCCTGGCCTGGTGAGCCTTCTTCTGATCACCCCAGTTTCCTGTGGCCAGGGAATACTTCAACCCATCTGTGATGATTCGTGTCTTGATAGCAAGCTCCAGGTTGAAGTCCTAAAAAAGGGACAGGAATAAAAGTTAAAAACAGGGCTTGAGTACTGAGCTTCATATAATCACAACACTGCTTTGCCATACCATACCCAGTCATAGACAGCTCTACAAACACAGATTCAAACATCATTGTCATATCTTCTCTATTGACAGTACACATTATGAGATAAAATGATTCATTTACTGATAATCAACAACTTTTCAATTCATTTAAAGACATTGCACAGCAAAAAGAGCTGACTTTATGTACTTCTGTCAATACTTTAATTTTGCTGATATACAGATAATTGTATTTAGATGAAATTTTTCATAAAATCATTAAGAAAAGCTTTCTTGCCAAGACATTAACTAGTTAACAATATGGACCTTACCTTCCCCCTGTCGATGAACTTCTGTGCGTATATGCGGACCTCCTTGGTCAGGTTCTTGAACAGGCCGCGGAACAGGTAAGCCAGCAGCGGCCCGGCCAGGTCCAGACGCTTGTTGCCATAGTGATCACGGTCGTCCAGCTCTCTCCGACCCAACGCTGCCAGCAGCAGTCTGTGTACAATGTACCTGGGAGGAGAGGCAGGTACCGTAGTGTTTTTGACTTGCTTATGAGGAAGGTATGGAGATACTGGGCGCATAATACACTTTTGTACACCCAAAATTGGAACTGTGCATCTATCTTTTAACCATGGGTCCACGTGTGTACTTCGATAATTCTGTAGAGGTAGGTACATAAAAATTCTATTCTTGACATTTGATAGAAAAAAACAGTAACACCTTTGTAAGTTTGTTGTTTTACATGTTAAAAATTGGGTATAGAATTTCAAATTCAAGCGCTGAAGAAAGGCAGTAAAAATAGTAATTAAATTTAGCTGACATTCTACTTTATTTCATGTGGTGCACCCAAATTTTTTTTAGCCCTATAGGAAAAAGAGGAAGACATTATTAGCCTGGTTACCAAACCTATTATAGCTCCCGAGTCCTACATCCTCTCCGCAAATAGGTCTGGACCTAGTTGATTCCCAACGAATAATTAAAGATAATACAGAAGAATGCCTTACCCTAAGAAATAAGCCTTCTTAGTCTCACAGTAGTCGCTGATGCCCACATGAGGCAACATCTCTTTCTGCAGGATCTCTCGGGCGTACTTGATTCTTTTGTCCTTGGTCACACCGGGCTTGGCACCTCTCGCACCGATGAAGTTCAGGGCCACATTCTGCTCTTGGATGACAAAGGCTTCATCCAGGGAGGGTTTTAACTAGAGGAACAGAACAGTTTGTTTTATTTCAGACACAGACATAGCAAAAACTTCAAGTCTTCGTGATGTGCTCAGCTCAGTAGACCATATATTGTCCCCATCTGATGTGTCAGATTTGGTGACTAGATAAGACATCACGGCATGAACAAGAAATCATAGATTTCAGACTTTTGAGAAGTTTTAATATATGTAGGAAATCCCGGCTTCCTGAATTCCCCCACAGCCCATGTCGAGCACCATATTCCTGCTGACTCCCGGCCAGATTCTGGACCTTCATGTTCACTCCATTTCCTGTGTCGGACCTGTTGACCTCATCTCATTCTGTCAATCTTCCCCCACCCATGTGCTGTCAACCTACTGTTTGGATCAGACAGAAACACATAACTCAGCCACCCAAAACATTACTTCTGTACCAAAAAAAAACAAACACTTTAACACAGTCTGTAGCTTGATTTTTGTCTCACCATTTCCATCATTTCTGGGTCATCAAAGTCATAGATGATGTGTTCCAGAATGTCTCTGTCGGACACGAAGCCCAAGGCGCGGAAAACGATGATGATGGGAATCTCCTGACGGATGTACGGCAGAACCGCCACGATACGCTGACCAATGGCACTCTTTCTCTGACCCTGGAGGTAAAGACATTACAAAGTTGAACTACAGACACATACTAGCTGCATGTAGAACACTTAAGAGGCCTGTGAGGCAGTCATGCTCAGTAGACCAGAGTGTCTCCATCTTATATGTCAGATTTGGTGACTAGATAAGACATCATTGCATGACGAAAAAAATCTCCATATTTGAACTTTGATTAATTTTTCAAGTTTTCTTCACAAAACGAACTCTATATAAGAACTGTCTCAACTTTCTTCTTTACTCGCACTTATTGGTTACACCAACTAACCGTTCCTCCTCTGGCCAGCATGTGAACCCACAGTGTGCTTGTCGGTCTTGACGAGTGCTCCAAACACGATCTGATCTCCCCTGTAAAGGCGTACTTCGAGTCCTTTTTCGCGAACACGTACACTGAGTTTGTCGCCATCTTTTCTTGAGCGATCAGAACCTTCTCAGAACCGTTGATGATGAAGTACCCTCCGGGGTCTAACGGACATTCGTTTAACTCCGTCAAGTCTCTGTCTGTCAGGCCGCTCAGAAGACAGTACGTGGAGCGAAGCATGATGGGAATCTTCCCAATGAAAGTTTTCTGGTGTTGCGTCTCTATTCGCTCTTCGCCATCTTTGACGATAGTTTTGGTGATGTCCACATACAGGGGTGCAGAATACCTGAGGAAAAAAGTTCACAAATGTTATTTTTACGTTGTACCCCAAGCTGTGAGGGTATTTTCTCCACTTTGTATTTCTATCCTACTATAAATTTGAATGGTCTGTGGCCAGACAAAGTACCAAGTTAAGTTACAGGGTAATTATTACTAATCTTGTTCATGGTAGCATCCACAGACTAGCTAACTCTCAGATAGAGAAGCATCAACAAAAATATTTTGCAATCACTCTTTTTCAGAGTCTGCCATATCAACATTTCATCATCTGCTTCTCAACCTGCCGGTGAAAACGCATGCCACAACATTTTTCACGTGATAGAACAGAACAAAAGTGTGGAACAATCTTAAAAGTCAGATCTTTGAGTAAAGATCTTAAGAGAATTGTTGTCCTCACGTCAGGTTTCGGAGTCGAGCTTCGTTGGGCATCATGGGGCTGGGTGCACCGTCCTTCTCCCAGTGAGTGGGTTTGGACAGGTAGATCTGTTCGAAGTTCAGCAGGTAGCGAGGCTAAAACAACAAACAAAAACAAAACACGACTTAATGACTTCATGTGTCTAGTAGATGTACACTAACCTTAGCGTCCGTTTGACATCCGAACAGCAACATTAAGATGTTGGATTCAAAGAACAAACACAAGTGTTTTTTCAATTTTTTTATTGAAGTCTTAGCATTCCGACGCCTTTTTTGTGCTCCTGTCTTTCTTTGCTACTTCCATCTCCGGAGCTCCATACCTCGCAAAGCGGTAAACCTGCGGGAGGAATTCAACATCACCCTCCTCCCATCATACACTCATATCAGTTTGGGGGTGACCAGAGGATGTCATCCATATAATCAAATCAGTCTAACATGAGCCCAACTCACCGGTACTTCGGCCTCCATGGTGAGATGTTGTGCCTCGGCCTGCAGGTCGATCTGTGGCGAATCCTCCACGATCCGCTGCACGGACATCTGGATGAACTCATCGAAGGAGTCCAGCTGCTGGCGCACCAGACCCTTCTCATCGAAGTATGAGCTGATGACGATCCAGCACGCCTCCTGCCACAGGTCAGGCGTGATCTCGTCTGTCTCATCCTCCTCCTGGTACGTGTACTCTGTAAGGGGATGGAGATTTGTTTGTTTCTTTATTAGGATTTTCCACAAAGTGAACGGGAAGGCAAAACAGGTATGCACATTTACAAGTTGCCCTCCCCCACACCCATACAAAAAACACATGCACATGTAGCCGTGGACGACTCTGGTACACCTTTTTGCATGATAATGCCGGTGACAGAGTCGTGGAAAGCTCCATAGGCCAAAACCAACCTTTGCCGTGCCGGGCCTCATGCAACGGGCCGGCCCCGGTTTTTTTGTGTCCCTGGGGGGATAAGACCCTAAACAAACGCAGCATTTAACCACAACACGGCCTCGGAGCACGTAACTCCATACAAATCATCGGCGATCGGCGCCATTTTGAATTCAGGAATCGGCCCGCAAAACAGGTCGGACCCTGAGTTTACGACAGATTACGTCGTTATTTTCAACTCTCAACGTTCAAGCTGCAGGTATCATGACGTACGTAATCTGTCGTAAACTCAGGGTCCGACCTGTTTTCCGAGGCCGTGTTGTGGTTAAATGCTGCGTTTGTTTAGGGTCTTATCCCCCCGGCCCGGCAGGTGAGTGCGTCGGGAAGCCAGGGACACAAAAAAAAACGGGGCCGGCCCGTTGCATGAGGCCCGGCACGGCAAAGGTTGGTTTTGGCCTATGGAGCTTTTCACGACTCTGTCAACGGCATTATCATGCAAAAAGGTGTACCAGAGTCGTCCACGGCTAATGCACATGCTGCACATACATAATTTTTTTTGTTAGTCTTTCAAAATTCAAAGTCGAATACAGTATAACACTATACAGCAAAAGAAAATATATTTCAAATACATGTAGCTACACACAGAAACATGCAGCGATAAAAATCAATCCTGCTGTGAACAGAAATTCATTTTCCTTTTTCAACTACCTGTATTTATATAGTCGCCCCCCTCCCACCCTGGTCTAAAACTTCCAAGTGCAAAGTAAGAAGCACAGCAAAGCAAAACTTTGTCATTGAAGCTGCGTCATTGAAGCCGAGTAGTGCTCCTCGTAGTAACTGCTAGCATATAAGCATGGCACATATGCAAATGTATTTATATTGACTCAAAGACTGGAAATGTTATGTTATGATGCGGCGGGAACAAAGAGTGCAGTTTTGACTTCCCAAGATCTTCGGAAGCTACCAGGAATTTAGGATACGAAATCTCACCTTCGTCGATTTCAAACATGACTGTACTCCTTAGTTAACCTTCTTGAATAACTTAGAAGTTGATCTACGTATTGCTCGGTCACGGATGGCTCGGGAGAAGCTGGATTGCTGAAGGATTATTTCTTTTAAACCCACAGCACCAGAGAGCGTCACTGCGCCATTACTGTTGGCGTTTCGCACTGAGCATGTGTGGCGGTCTCACAGCGCCGCCCTGCGTTCGAAATTCGCAATGCAATGCACTGTCTGCAGTACTGCGAGACCACGTGAGAGTAAGAGAAAGAGAGCTTGGACTCCAAGAAAGATCTGTAGAGAAAGAACAGGACGACGTCTTTGGAGCCGGAACAACCCAGAAGACAACGATATCAGTGTTGAATGGAAAACCATCCTTCTATATTTGCTTGTCTTATCGTATTTCAAAGAAGATGCAAGGATAAGGCTCACTCTCAATGGGAGAGCATTCTCCGACAAGGCGACTAAGTTTAAAGAAATAGAATAGAACCATGCAATCTTTCAAATTAAATTTCCTGGTCATTTTTTAATGATGTATTAATTTAAGTTGGTTGAATCAATCCTACTTAGACCTTAGACCATCTGTCATTGTCTGTAAGGTTTAGGCAAAAATGCGATATCGATGACCCAAGAAAACGGTCCATTGTTTCATATCGTAGCAGGTTCTCGCTTAGTAGCTATTTATGTTTGGTATTGAAGTTGGTATTGTTATTTTACAAAAGTAATAGATTAAAAGGGAATTCTCACGTAACTTGTTTTGGGTCTATTTTTGGTGACGAATGCGTGATAAATGGCAGGGTCAATGTCAATACCAATATGTCCAATATGGCATGTTGAGCGCAGGCACTGGATGCCTTTAAAACTAAATGTTTATCTTATCTTATCAATATTGCAATTGAGATTAGTTCTTGGTTAACGGTTAGGTCTTCTTCTAATAGAAAATGAGAAAGTGAAAGTTCATGGACAATAGAAGGAAGAAAAGAAATACTAGTACAACTCACTAGAATGTTTATATCTCACTTTTAACCTTTTTTGGTGGGCACAGCATACAAATAAATAAGCACAAATTAAGTTCCATGTATAACGTTATCTGCATAATAAGACCATTGGGTTTTTAAAGAAAAGCTCTGTGGCTGAAGGATTTCTTTAGAAATTTACACCCACTTTCCTCCCACTGAAGTAAAAATAGCGCCTGTGATTTACTCGTGTACGTCACTTTTCACGGCCGTTGCTTTTGTCTCACCTCCGGCATGTCCATATTAGGTAACAGGGCGGTATTTACTAGTAAATTCCTCAGGTGTGTCAACAGGCCCGGGGTTGTAACGGACGCGATCTCGTTCCCAGACCGTGACATCATCGGTCACGTGATCACGGGGAAGTGTGAACATCTCAGGAATGTGCCGATCTATTTTCTACTCCCCTCGGAACAAAAATTCAATCACAAAGAAGGCTCGCTATAAACTTAAAGCACGACTTACAACCCTGTCACAGTTGTCTAGGTTAATTATACTTACTTAAGAACGTCTTCTGTCTTGCATTCAATGCTCAAATAGGAAGAAATATCCAAGTAAGTCAACCGGATGTACCTGTTGCCACAGGGAGGGAGAACGCTCGGAGGAACAGCCTAGACTGGCCCACACAAAGTGAGGGTGGCGTCAAATAACAGTTGTTTTGCGTCGGACGCCTAGTTTTGCAAAGTGTGTAATATTCCGTCTGCAACGGAGGAATACGATTAGAATTCTGTCAGGTAAGGCTCTCATTATATTGTTATTTAGCTTTTCTGATTAAATCCGTAACGTTTTATGGCTTTTACAGGCTGCAGGACGGCTGAACGATATGGGAAACTGAAGTACTCTGAGTCCGGATCACGATCACGACTCCCCCTCCCCACGCGCGTCTCTTAGATCGCACAGAATATTTAGCAAATTATTCTTCAAGATCAGCAAGATCAAAAACATCTGTGGCTGCAGTATGCTGCTTTAGTGTGCTCCTGTTGTGTCTGTGGCAAAATTTTGAGTATCCATGGTCAAAGAAGCTCGTGTTTAGGACGTTCGCTTGCCTCTTTATTTTGCAGTGTTGGTGGCAGACAGCCATCATCATGGCGGTTCTGAAATTTGAATCAGGCAAAATAACTTCCGGTTTACATCGTTCCTGTCGTGTGTAAATCACTTGTTGAGCTCCCATCTGACGTCTTCTCTTCTTGTTTAACATTTGTTCATTTTCCTAAGGACATGTCCTGATCTCAAATTCGATGCACAGACAGAATTGTTGGAAAAATCCACTCCTAATTAGGCATTTCGAAAGCTGCCCAACTATAATGACGACGACTGCTAAGCTAAGACAAATACACTGCTTAGTCACTGTTGTGGCTTTTTTTCATAGTGACAATTCATAGTGACTCAGTGTATAGTCCTAGGGTCAGGATCAGCAAAAGTGATACAGAGAAAATATATATGTACAACAACATCAGAGTAGATCAACATAGCATTTTCACATTTTATTGACAGACACAGTAGTCTGTGTATTTTACAGATATGTATGTCTGCCCTCTGTCCTGTTGTTTACCCAGTGACAGTGGGTCCTGTGGGAAAGTTAGCACTTCCCAAAACATGGCTGGATCAACCCCATGACTTCAAGTGTCAGAAAACAGTGCAAATATAATGAATTATGCCCTTGGTTCAAATAAGAGCATGAAGCAAACATATATTCTTTTTGGATGAATTTTTTATTGTCTATCAATGAGTAGGTTCATTGACTTGTAATCGTCTAGTAGCGTTATACATATTCATCCTTTTTTTTTCAACACTGCAAAGTGCAAACAATAAGGAAATGTGACTACCAGTATCTTGAATTTTGCTAACACAACAGTGTGAACAAAGAGAGCTTGTCCTTGGCATCAGCCAAGTATCAGAATTGGTTGGTCACACCTCTAATTTTCATTTTCCTGGGGAATCCCATGGGTAAACCAAGTACAAGGCATGTTGTGGCAGGAGAATGAATGTCCTGTCTACTATGGCAATATATAATTTTCTCATGAGCAGAGGAAACAAGAGATAATGAAAAAAGGGAGTGGGACCATGGCCATGGATGTATTTCTGGACAGGATCATGAGGCATACTAGTAGAAAATACCCTGTTCACACATGACAAGGCCTTTTTTTCAGTGGAAGTGGGAAGTCAAAAATTGAAAATAGAATTTCTACAGAGACAAGTTGAGTCTCTCATGCTGATAATGCTGTTCATAAAACAACCTGCCTGTCCTTCATTATAGACTTGCTTGGAGCTGGATTTGAAACAGTCTGGCATCTGACATTGGCAAGTTTGCCACTTTGTTGTCTGACCTAGAAAGTGGTGTGCTCAGTGGCTGTGTCATCCTTGAGAAAATAAGATAAACAAACTGAAGGACAACAGTCCTTCCTGTGTCAGGTTTCACTTGTAGGATAGTAGTTTGTACAACTGCCATATATAGAAATGAGTGTACACCGTAAACGAAGAACTAGATAAAGTAAACATGTGGTTCAAAACAAACAAATTATCTTTAAATGTCAAAAAAACTAATTTTATCATTTTTACAGCTAAGAATAAGAAGTACCCGAAGGAAAATGTTAAGATATTAATGAACAACATCCGTATTACCCAAGTGACCCATACTCGCTTCTTAGGTGTCCTGATTGATAGCAAATTAACTTGGAAGAATCATATTGATCACGTATGTAAAAAGATTTATAAGAATATTGGGATAATACGGAGAATGAGCAATTTCTTATGCCATAAAATGTTTATTACCCTATATTACAGTCTTGTTTATCCCTATTTGACCTACTGCAACATTGTATGGGCATCTACGTACTCCACATCACTCAAACCTCTCTTTCTCCTTCAAAAACGGTACATTAGAATGACATTAAGAGCTTCCTTCACTACCCCTAGTGCCCCCTTATTTAAAAAGTTACAAATACTGACTATTTATGATATAAACCGACTTCAAACCTGCTTGCTAATGTTTAAAATAATAAGTAAATGTCCCTGTCTTCCTGAAACCTATTACAACACCTTCAGATTGAACTCAGATATCCATAGCTACAACACAAGACAAAGCAATTATATAAGGCCTATTACTGCAAAAACTAATCAGCGGCAATTCTCATTCATGTACAGGGGACCTACAGTCTGGAATAACCTAAACAAAACATTAAAGCTATGTCCATCTTTAAATATTTTCAAATCCCACGTCAAAGCTGATTTCATTAATGACTCCGCACTTTCCTAGATCATCTTTTCACATACTACGTTCTTATATATTATTACATTGTTTCATGTTCTTACTGATTGATTTACTAATTTGCTATATTTTCATTTGTTTGTAGCCAAACACATTGGTTTTGTTTGGTTCATGCATTGTTTGTTTACTTATGTTAAACCTGATCATTTTGTTTATATGACTGTTTTTGCTTATTTCTTTAATTGATTCATTATTTTGTTTCATTGATGTAAGAATATAATGTTAGTTCACATGGGGGGAGTTGTCATACAAGCCTGTGGCTTTTCCTCTACCCCTGCATGTTTATTTGTTTCTGTTATACTTATGTTTTGCAAATTTTGCTTTTACTTTGTATGTGCAATAAATAAAACAACAATAAAACAACAACATGTTCTTGCAACAGTAGAAAAAGCTGTTACCCATTTCACTGATTATGTTGTATCTATTGTGTATTTCAGTGGGATTGTAAACTAGAGCGCAACAGAACAAGATCAAGATGGCTTCACCAGGTGGTACCCTGAAATGGGACCCTAAGAATCTGGAGATCAAGACACACTCTGTAGAGAAAACACTGGAACCACTGGTCACGCAGGTGAGTTGGCCAGGTTCAAGTTCAAAATGATCTTTTACTTTTAGTTTTAACATTGCACAAAGATTACATAGTACATGTACAAAACAGAAGTCGAAATAAGCATGTGTATTTCGCTTTTTTTTACTTTCAGACCAGGAAGTTATGTTATGAGTAGCTGAGCGGTGGGTTGATGTGTATGTTTATCCGGGCTTAGTAAGTTGACAGCACATGATTGGTGGGGAAAATGGACAGGCAGAATTACAGGAGGTAAAACAGTCAGAATCAGGAAATCTGAACTGAAGTCTGAAATCTTTGATTTCTTGTTTCTTACATAGGTCACAACACTTGTGAACACCAAAGGGAACTCTGGGAAGAAGAAGGGTCGTTCCAAGAAGGCCCATGTGTTGAGTGCCTTAGTCAAGAAGGCGACAGAGACCTTCATCGACAAGGGGGAGACAATCGCAAAGGACTATCCCGACATCCAGGATGACATGATGGCAGCCATCGATGACTGCAAGAAGACAGGTATAGAACGTTTTATATCAGACATTTATGGTACATGTGAGCAGAGTACAACAGTAGGATGACTCTTTGGAGTCTTTGCTTACAGGCAAAAGCGTAATGTCTGTTACTGTGACTATTAACCCTCAAAACCATTACACTTGTGTCAGAGCTAGTTCTGTTGATTTGTCCTACATTGGTGCTGGGAAGGAGACCACTTGACTTGCCCAGAAAGCAAATACAGAAATACCAAACAGTCAGCAGACATACCAGTGTGTTGTTGACAGAATGCCTTTTCTGTAGACTTGATCTAGATGTCAGTTTAGCTCACATCTGTAAGACACATGTTAACAAGAGGACACAGAAGTGCATGGTAAAATTTAGCCAATTAGTGCTGTAACCCTGGACAAGGCATGTTGTTCCATCAGGTTTTTTTTGGGCGAAGACATCACAGTGTGTTAATCAGGACTATGATCTTGGCACTTGTAGTCTTTGTCCCTGTTTGATACCAGACTAATGTGGTGTGACAGGTTGACTGGGAGGAGTGCCTTTTGTTACAGGGTTCTGTATCTTTTGCTTAGTTGCCATCTCTCTAACGTCTAGTTCAGGAATGTGGGAGCACATCCAACTCCAAGACTGTGTGTACATAGTGGCAAGAAACTTGGCCACTGGTGCTGTAATAAAAGGCAGAAGATAAACATGTCTCTCTCTCTCATAGAGTCATACCATGCTTTAGTGAAGGTATAATTTTATGGAAAAAAATTATTGCAGCTGACGCAACACAGAATACGACAACATGACATGTTTACACCTTAATTTCCCATCCTCCAGGAGACACCATGTACGCTGCCTCCCAGGAGTTTGCGGACGACCCCTGTTCCTCCATGAAGCGGGGAGCGATGGTTCGTGCCGCCCGCGCCCTGCTGTCTGCCGTCACCAGACTGCTCATCATCGCTGACATGGCCGACGTGCACATGCTACTGAAGCACCTCCGCATCGTGAGTTTGAGCTTTGCTTCTCAGACATAATCTGTATCTGTATAGCCGGTATAACCGCCTTTCGGCGTAACACGCCGGCTTAACATAACCTAGACATAACCCAGAATATTTACCTCTGTGAAAACGGAGGTGTTGTTTTGGATGTGTAGTTTAGGATGTGTATGTGCCACATGCAAACACAAACAATGATACAGTCAACCAACAGCATATGCGTAGGAGAATTACCTAACTACAGACCACAAAAGGTCAGACACAGGAAGTCTGGTCCCAAAAGCTGGTCCAAACCCAGCAAGAAGATGGCCATGAAGTCTGTCATTGGGAAAATGTACCTAAGACAAAGAAATTCAATATAATCAATAAAGTAAGACATTGACAAAAACTTGAAACATTTCACAAAGGTATGAAATCTCTAAGTCTTTGTCATAAGTAAATGTTATGTTGATTTACTGTTTTTTATGGTGTTGTGTCTGTGCTTCAGGTGGAGGAGTCCCTTGAGAGGGTACGTCAGGCCCAGGACCAGCAGGCCCTGAACAACGCCTTCCGCCAGTACGGCAAAGATGTGGTGGGGCTCAACGACATCGCCATGAAGAGGCAGAACGTGAGTGCCTGTTTTCTTTTGATTCAAAATACGTTTTGAACATGGCTATTTATGCAAACAAGTGAGTAGTTTGAAGTAAGTGTACATAAACTTAGGAGCTTACAGTTCAACTGAATAGTCAGTACACATTCCTTTGAACTTTTGAATCTACAAAAATGTTCCTTACATAGATGTTTTTTCAATAGATTTAAAAGCTAGCACTCCTTTAGACACAAATAAGTAGTCTGTACCGTATACTTTACACAATTCTGGAAGTGTCATTACTTCATAATCATATCAGACAACCTGATATTTCAAACATTTTTTATTCAGGACTTGATTGACCCTGCCCGTCGTGATGAGATGGCGGCTGCCAGGAACACGCTGAAGAAGAACAGCATGATGCTGTACACGGCCTCCAAGGCTTACCTCCGCCATCCTGACGTCGCTGCTGCCAAGGCCAACCGCGACTACGTGTACAAACAGGTCTGCGATGCCGTCAACTCGCTGTCCAACGCGGCGCAGGCGTCCGGACCTGCCGACCCGCATCCTTACGAGGGTGCTGGGGAGCTGGCTGCAGCACTGGACGAGTTCGATGTAAGTCATAATGCACAAGAATGCCCCAAAACTAAGAAAAACACCCTCATATGCATTTCATATACAGCTATTTTGAGAAAAATTGCCTTTTTTTCTAGCATTTTAAGCAGAACTCATATTATCCCCTTCCAGTCTGGGAAAAGAAACTATATTTTGCAACATGAAAACAACAAGGTTGGCTGTAAAGTCACGGTTAATAATGGAAAACACTTCATACTAAACAACAAACAAACAAATCTTGTGTTCCCCAGTCAACATAACATCCTCGTTTATATTCGTACATGTTGTTTCTTTCACATTTTGGTGGTTGGTATTTTCCTGAGGTCACCTACATTTCCTTGTCCCCCTTTCCCACTATTGTTACCACATTTATGATCCCTGTGGTTTGTTTATTTCTCTGTACTCAATATTCCAGTGGTGCCTCTCAGCACTTTCTCTCAACAGAACAGTTTGTCTCGACCATTGGTACATTCAGCCTTTCTGTGTTGTAATAGGATATCAAACCCTCCTTTGGTTACCAGTGCAAAGAAATGTTCACACAATAAGTCTTTAAAGCTCTAAAGTCCTTCAGGAACTTTTCTATAGAACAAACATAAAACATGGTCTTGACAAAGTGTTCTCATGAAGCAGAGCTCGAAATTCATTATTTGGAATGCCCGAAATAGGTACTGGTGCACCTACACAGAAAAAAGATTGTTTGGAATGATATGAGACAAAATAGAGTATGTGAATGAAAGTTCATCTGTCTTGGTAGAATGCATAGTTGTAGAGTTTAAGCTTTGTTCAAAGATGATGTAGAATGTTAGCACAACCTAATTACAATCCTTACTGGATGTCTGGAATCTGAAGTAAAAAATCATGAGCACATCTCAAATTTTGGGTGCCCAGAAGTGCACATGCATCCGGTATTTCGAGCTCTGCAAAGGGAAAGTCTGCTTCATTCTTTGCTTCTACTTTTATGGTTTGGTGCTATGGCTTTATTTTCCTTTTATCGTCTGGAGGGTCGACGTAGGCGGGACCTTCTCTCTCGTGCTATGGATGATTTCGATGTAAGTACACGTCCCAGCTCACAGAACTGTACAGTCTGTGGTCCCCTCTCCTATAGCAGTGCATGCCTGCTTCCCACTTCTTCTTTCTTACCTAATCCCAAACGTTCCTCTCCTTGTACTTGGTTCTAGCCTGGTTGCATCCAGACGATCCTATTTGCATACAGGGGCTCCCATATTTGGTCCCTAAAACATCGTTTAGGGAGCAAGTATTGCAGGGAGCCCCTGTATGCAAATAGGATGGCACCCAGGCTAACTTGACACCACATGCATGTGTTTAACTTAGAGGTTTTGTAATCACCCTACCAATTACACGATTGACCAAAATGCTAGATTATTTTTCAAACATAACGACTGTTCTGTTAAACTTATAGACACATGTAGGGAAATGATCATCATTAACATATCATATGAAGAAAAAAATTAACGACTACATTTAATGAAATGCCAGCATCAGTTTTCAAAAGGCAACATTAATGTGGCTGTTTGTGGTCTAAATTCTAACAACAACTTCCAAGTTACCCCCACACTGGTATCATGCAGTTTTGTACATGAAAATGTCATTTTTGTCATTTTTAACATTTCATAGTTCAGTAAGTGATACATGTTGTTAATGTAAAAATTTCCAATCCTGCATCTTAAAATATGGACAAAACCAAGCAGAGTTTGGTGAGGATATTTTTCTTACGGCAAACTAAGTCTCGGAACTTTGTTTTCTCTGCAGCAAAAGATTGTGATGGACCCGGCCAGCTACAACGAGGTGCGTACGCGCCCGTCGCTGGAGGAGCGGCTGGAGAGCATCATCAGCGGCGCGGCGCTCATGGCGGACTCCTCGTGCACGCGTGACGACCGGAGGGAGCGCATTGTGGCCGAGTGTAACGCAGTGAGACAGGCTCTGCAGGACCTGCTGACAGAGTACATGAACTGTGTAAGTTAAAGGACATCGGCTTGCAAGTATTGACAGTCATATTTGATGTTCACTCTATTTGCCAAGATAACAAAAATCAGTCTGTGCTGCTAAAAGACTTGTTTTGATTTCACAGTAGGCGAGAAAAGGAGTTTTCACGTTATGAATTTGCCATTGAGACAGTACTGTAGTACAGCTGTAATACATTGGAAACACGTATTCACTGTGTCATTAGATGAACAACATCACTTTAAAAGTTGTGTGTGTAAGTTTTGTATTGTGTTTTTGTGCAGGCTGGTGGCAGGAAGACCAAAGAGCTGGATGAGGCTGTGGACAGGATGCACAAGAAGACCAGGGGATCTCCGCAGACAGGTATGTCTGATTCTGAAAGTTTGAAAGTTGGAAAACCTTTTTTTAAAAGAAACGTTTCTACCAGTTTCTACAAGTTTCTAGTTGTCTGTATGTATTTGTGAGCTAACTGTTACATCCTGGTGCAGAAGTATTCATTTTGGGTGGCTGAGCTCTGGGTTTGTGTTTATACAGAGTGGGTTGACAGCATATGGGAGGGGAAGATTGATTGGCAGAAAGAGAGGAGTTCAAAAGGTCAGGCACAGGAAATGGGGCAAAGTTGAAGGTCATGAAAACCGAAAATATGTCTGAAATCTGTCTGACTTGTAGCTGATGTTGTTGTACAGCTGCGTAAGGCGGTGGTGGACCACGTGTCGGACTCGTTCCTGGAGACCAACGTTCCCCTGCTGGTGCTGATCGAGGCCGCAAAGCGCGGGAACGAGAAGGAAGTGAAGGAGTACGCCCAGGTGTTCCGCGAGCACGCCAACAAGCTTGTTGAGGTAAGCATTGATATGTCAGACTGTTTATATATTTTCCCCTAGCTTGCAATCTATTTCAATCTTTAGGACATTGCAGTAGCTATTTGGCTATCAATTTTGTATTGGTTACGGGGTTAGGCATCAGGGAGAAGGCAAAAGTTATAACTATGAAAATGTGACAAGAACTTTCACCACAGTTTAAATGTTGTTGTCTGATTTGGATATGATTTCTAAACAAATTCATGTGGTAAGTAAAGTGCTTGAGCTATCGCTTAAGTTAACAAAGATTTTGCAGCAGCTTGTTGCATCGGTAATGGCTTGTACAGGTTTCAATGACTGACGTTTGAACTTGAAAAAAAAGAAAGACAATACAATATACAAAATATACAAATACAATATATTAGACCATTCTCACAGTGTATGTATTTTGATCATTGCAGGTGGCCAACCTGGCCTGTTCCATGTCCAACAATGAGGAGGGGGTGAAGCTTGTTCGCCTGGCAGCCAATCAGATCGAGAACCTCTGTCCTCAAGTTATCAATGCCGCCCTGACCTTGGCGGCCCGCCCCGCACGCAAGGTCGCGCAGGAGAACATGGACGTGTTCCGCGACCAATGGGAGACCCAGGTGCGCCTGCTGACGGAAGCCGTGGACGACATCACCTCCATCGACGACTTCCTGGCCGTTTCTGGTGAGTTCACTTTTGTGGTGGACTCATTTCATTGTAGGTTTTTGTAGTGTTAAACATTTAGGGTTGAAAGAAGTACAGTGATATCACATTGGAAACACATGTATGCAGTGTCACTTATTTATGGTGGAAAAGTCAGTGAAAAAAGTGTGAAATGGAACCCCCACAAAAAAGTTTAACAATCAAAAAAAGTTTGCTGCTAAAATTTGGGAGTTGTGAAAGAAAATTCACCAACATATGGTCGTCATAAAAATCATCATGTGAGGTTTACCTTTCCTGAATCTTGTCTAACGCCTCATGTTATTTACTCCACAGAACAACACATCCTGGAGGACGTCAACAAGTGCCTGCTGGCTCGCCAGGAGAACGACGCCGACACGTTTGACCGCACGGCGGGTGCCATCAGGGGCCGCGTCTCCCGGGTCTGTAACGTGGTGAACGCAGAGATGGACAACTACGAGCCTGGCATCTACACCGAGAGGGTCCGGGAGGCTGTGGTGTTGCTGGGAGACCAAGGTTTGTATGATTTGGACCTCTGTAGCTGTTCTCACAACTAGAAGTCGCAGCTAAATGTTGTGACATTTCACCAATAAAGTAATAACAAACTATGTAAAAGTTTTGAAACTAAAGGACAGTTTCTGTCAGGTCAAATTGTCTGTGGAGTAGTCGAATGTAAGAAAGTGATGGCCCCTCAGGAATCCGTATGTCCATTGTTTACACACATTCAGCAATCTTAGGACAAGCCATTTGTTTCAATCAAGAATAAGTTAGACTGGTTGATAGCTTAGACACCTGCTTGTGCACTATGATTTTTCTCATGAAGACCCAACCCTTTCCCTCCAGTGATGCCAGCGTTTACAGAGAGTGTAGAGATCGTGGTGGAGGCCCTGAGCCAGGACCCGCCCAAGGAACAGACGAGAACGAGCTGATCGACTCCTCCCGTAACGTGTACGAGGGCGTCCGTGACGTCAGGCGTGCTGTCCTGATGATCAGGGTACGTTTGTTTGGAACTGACGCTAAATCTGTGCTGTTTCATAATGAGTGCCTGAGTGTCAGTAGTAGTGCCTATCTGGTAAGTTCTGGTGCATGATTAAACTGAAAAGGAGATGAATTAGACTGCAGCATGCAGACTGCACTTTAGGCATACTTTTTGGAAACAAAAATGTGCCCAAGCAGGGAAACTTGTGCTGCATGGCTAAGTGTACAGCTTTCTCTTCTTCACTGACTCACCGCATGTAATCTTTTGGCAGACAGCACTGGCAACAAGTCTTGCTTCGTGGCTTCTGTGTTTTGTACTATTAGACTTTCTGCTGTTTGTTCTGTCTGCTTCTTTTCTGTCATACCGTATGTTCTTAGATGTATATGTAGCACTCACTGTCTTGACTGAAAGCACCTGGTCAGCTTGCATGTCCTCTATGTATAGTTAGCCTGGCAGTACAAATCTTTAGTTTCCACGTTTTTTAGTCTGGTGTACACGACTTGTTCATGGCCCCTGTTTGTTGTCACTTCTCTACTCTTCTTCCTGTTCTGGTGTCTCCTCTGTGCAGTTAGCAGGAGAGTATATAAATCCTCTCCGACCACCCCTGTTGGTAAGGCTCAGTCTGATGTCTTGTGTGCCACATTTGTCAGTCTTAAGTCTGAGGGGTAGGGGAAGCTTATAGTTCTGTAATTCTAACTGCCTGCTTGGGGTTTAGGAACACCCAAAGTTGTTTTGTTGCATGATTCAATACGATATTTCCAAGGCGTAAGAAAGTAATAGAAAATCAATTCTGACACAGTACTTATGGATATGAATAAGAAATTTGTACCAAAACTTACGGCATGGTTCAGAAATTTTTTAGAAAGGTGCTTTTCACTTGATTTGAATTAAAAGTGTAACACTAAGACCAACAACACAATACTCTGACATACATGAAAGAGAAACTTGTACAGTTGCATGTTTTTCTATGCATTGAAGTTCTTCAGTCTAACCATGAATTTGCTCCCCCTTGCAGAGCCCGGAGGAACTGGAGACAGACACAGAGTATGAAGATGAGACATACGAGACCCACAGCAGATGTAAGTATGCAGGAACTTACACAGACGTGGAAAATATTTACAACTAAGATGGTCGTCTTTTCACTATAATTTGGTAGTTTGTACAAAAAAAATTGACAAAAAAGAAGCAATAGATGGATATGTAGTGAGTTTCAGTTTGATACATTTTCACTATTAATTTCAGCGAGCCGAATGACTGATGACAGAGAGCTGGAGGGGTCCCAGGCTGGAGAGTTTGGTGGCAAGAGTGCCAGGGTATGGTGTCATGTTATATATCCTAGACTTCAGTCTCACATATCTGTAGCTCAGCTTGATAGGAAAACATTAGAAAATATTTAAGATAAAGTTGTTTATTGGCAGATATAAAGAGTAGTGGTGATAGTAGTAGTAGTAGTGATCACTATATATGATTCCGTCCGTCATGTCTTAAGTTTCAAAGACTACTACTGGAGAAATAACTTCCCGACATTCCTCACAGTGTCACTAAATGAAGAAACATCCAGAAGTTATCTCCATTATTTATCCAGTAGTAGAATTGAATTCCCTTTGAATGTTGTTTTCCTGGATGTTTTTCTAACCTTCATCAACATAAGTGGATTGATTGATTGCATGAATGATTGACAGGCCCTGATGAGAGAACTTCCTGAGGAAGAGAAGAAGAAGATTGCTCAGCAACTGGAGGTTTTCCGTGCCGAGAAGAGCAGGCTGGACGAGGAAATCGCCAAGTGGGACGACAGTGGCAATGACATCATCGTCCTGGCCAAGCAGATGTGCATGATCATGATGGAGATGACAGACTTCACCAGGTTAGTCATCTTCATTTGGTAGTTAATTAATATGATTAACTACTTTTGATTAACTACTAATTTGGCAAACATATTTGATAGTTGACTTTAGCAGTTATGTTACTATATTTAACTAATTTTGTTGTTGACTAATTTGAGAAGTAAATGATTTGGTTGGTAGTTTACTATTCATACTGGTTTAAAAGACTTAAGTTTAAAAGAGTTAGTTGCACCAGCATTAGTCTGACCTGTAAAATTATAAAAACACTTAGCTGACAATTTTTCTTTATATCACAACCACAGAGGCCATGGTCCACTGAAGTCCACCATGGATGTCATCAATGCAGCCAAGAGGATCGCCGAGGCTGGCACCAAGATGGACAAGCTGGCCAGAGCCATCGCTGACCAGGTCAGTTGTCATGTCCAGTTGACATGCGGAGCGGAATATGTCTTCTTTCTCTGCATTTCAACAACTGGTGGTCTCTGGCTTTTTATTTACAGGGGCTCAGTATACAAATAAATAAATGGAATCAACAATAATTTTATGATGAAGTATGCGCAACAAAAAAAATATTTTCTTTTTTTTTCCTGTAGTGCCCTGAGTCCCAGACCAAGGACGACCTGTTGGCGTACCTGCAGAGAATCGCCCTGTTCTGTCACCAGCTCAACATCGCCAGTAAAGTGAAGGCTGAGGTACAGAACATCAGCGGAGAGCTCATCGTGTCAGGGGTAAGTCTTATACACTCTCACAGCAACACGCTGTTCCTTCAGCTTCTGTAAACCACCATTGCTTCATATTGTCATTAACTTGGTAAAGATCTTTCTAAACAAATCTTGAGGCAAAGGCATGGATCATTTTGACGTAAACTGCAATTATCTTAACACGATCTCTCTGTCACAACGTAAATAGCCTGTTTGTATCTTTATATTGCCATACTTGGTAAATCTCTATCACTGCGTTTTTCTCTTGACAACTTTTCATCATGTGTATGACGTATTCATGGACGAGCTATCACCACTGGTGCCTGTATAGTGCAGTTGTGTCTCTCACACTTGCCATATATGTGTTATAGCTGTTGTTTACAATGTCACAACCATGTATGATCTGAGGAGATGTCCACCTGTTGTGCACTTTGTGAAATATGCCCAGTAATCCCACTCTTCTTTCATTTTCATATTCGATAGCCACACTGGGCGTCTATGGTAAGTTATCGCTCATAGAGACGTCTGGAAAGTCTGCCTGATTTCTTAATGTGGAATCACTTTTGACTGAAGTCTTGACCACCTTTGACGACCCTTAGATCAGAAACCTGACGGTTAGACTGGTAGACTAACCCCTCCCCAAGGTCTGGTCTTCAGACAGAAGTGACTTCATTTTAGCAAATCACCAGAGTTTGCACTCTTCGCTCCACCCACTTCTTTTGATTTGATCTATTTTCACCGAGATAATTTGATTTTCACGTAAAATGGGTATGCAGTGTGCAGCATGCCAAACAAAAGTCTTATAAGTTTGCACTGAACGAATCACAACTCTAATTCTTTGTGTGAGAATTTTTACTTGTATCTAATGTCTTGTCTTAGCTTTTCTCCAGTTCTGTGTATCAAGCCAAAAATACTGTTACACAGAACATTACTGTATTACAAAATCATATCAAGCAGTTTCTTACAAAGGCATTTGAAATGCACTTGAAATGCACAAATGCATTTGAAATTATCTATAAAGCAAATAATACAAAATGATTTTGAAAAACTATTGAGTCTGAGTGTAAAATGGCCACAGAATTTGTTACCACGACATGAATTTTGTCTGCAGAAGTTGTTTTGTGAATCCATTTAGGAAAAGCTGCAGCAAGTGTCTTAAGTTATAATGAAGATGCAGTTTTGTGAAATAAAATGGTGTCCTTATCTACTTCCTCTTATGATCCTCCATGTTGTTTTGTTACGATCGTACATTTGACAAACTGGACTTAATTGTGGTTGTCATGTTTTTTGTTTTTGTTTGCTTGTTGTGATTAACTGCCGTGGTTGCCGTTTGAGATTGGAATCCACTAATGCTATAGAGCTATATGACTGGACAAATTTTTGATGAGATTATTCAATTCAGTCATGACTGCTAACACAATATTCTAGAGACAGCTCTCAGTTCTACAGAACACAGAAATATTATGTATGGTATGTCAATAGCAGCCTTGGTAGAAACCTCTTTGGAAACAAGACTTTTTTCCATCCCACTTCCATCCTAATTCTTCAAATATATCCATCCAAACGACTGATTTCCCTTTCTGATAAACTTAAATTCACTCTCAGACAAACTAATGTAAAGTAGAAATCCTGTCAGGGAAGTTTGCCTGTAGGGCTATTGATTTTGGGGATATTCAGATTGTATTGACAGATCTCCACTAACAAGGTTTCCCTCCCAATGACAATGTTGTGACTTTCCTCTCCGTAGTTGGACAGTGCCACTTCCCTGATCACAGCGTCTAAGAACCTGATGAATGCTGTGGTGCTGACTGTCAAGTCCTGCTACGTCGCCTCCACCAAGTACAAGAAGGCCATGAAGAACCAGCATGTCAATGTGAGTAGTCTGTGATTCTGCTGCGTGATGTGTTTGACCGGGCCCTTAGTCAAGTACATGTACTGACAGTTAGATAGCACTTTGGCTTGTTGTAAATATAGAATACAACATGGCGTATTCTGTGTCACTCAAGGTTCAGCTGGAGGGCAATCCAAACTGAGGGAGGGTGATGCTGAATACACCATGTTGTATTTCACTTATGTCATACAAAGGAGAAAACACACCTTTCAATGCAAAATGCTCTGAAATTTGGTGTTCCTAAGCCAAATAAATGCAACAGCATCAATTCCAATGTCCGAATCTGGTATTCAAATTTTCAAAAGCGGTGCATGCCACTCAGGCAAAATGTGTTCAAATTATTCTATGGAACATTTTGAAGCCAGAGTGATAACAAAATAGAACCCCGGGTTGTACCGCTAGTTATCACACGGGCCAGAACACTCCGTATCAAACATTATTGTGGCTCAGAAATGATATTAATGTGAAATATCAACACATGCATCATACTGAAACATTCCTGTTCCCCCCGCCCAGTCCCCGGTGGTTCTGTGGAAGATGAAGGCTCCGGAGAAGAAGCCTCTTGTGAGGCGGGAGAAACCAGAGGAGCTGTCCGCCAAGGTCCGCAAGGGCTCGCAGAAGAGGCACGTGTCGCCCATCCAGGCACTGAGCGAATTCTCTGGCAGAGACACCTTCTAAGGACCAGTCGGATGAACTAATGTTCACATGTATAGTTGCTTTGAAGAATGAGCTTGTAAGAGAACTTTTACATCTCCTGTATAGCTTGATATAAAACTTTGTAACTCCATGTATAGGATTGTAACATGTAGGCCTAATTAAGATACTACAAGCACTACCATTGGTCGGACAGTAATGCTGCTGTTGCATTAAGGGAAGAGTCACTTTTTACCACAGAAGACCAGGAATCAAGTTTATAATTCTTGAAGTAGGATGTTTTACCGATACCCTGTGTTTGCCAAAGGACTTTTAAATGTTCCAGTAAGTGTTGATATGAATCAATGAGTTTTAATTACACTGTCTAAAATGTAGACATGTCTGTCAGCATGGTCTTATACTGTATAATTTTTATACATAGCAGATTGTGAGTTTTCCTGACATGGAATGAGGGAAAAACTTTTGACCTCAGCTTACTAACAGCTGACATGAGTTTGGAAACAGAGAAAATGTTTATCACTTATTGCACTCCACTGTCACATTCCATTCTTTTTGATGGTAATTCTAGTCTTTTCATTGTGTTATCTTTCAGTGTACCATAGCCTGTAACTGTTGACACAGTAACAACTATAAAGAGAGACTTTCCTGATGTTTTTGTGACATAATTGCTTTGTGACAGAGGTTGCTTTTTACTGGCTATCTTTTTGCATGTTCAAGATTTTGGTCACAACCGTGACCAAAGAATTGATTAAGATGTCTGACTTCTGTGTTGACTGTGAATCTTTTAGATGGCAGTGCCTTTTCTCTGGTAGAAAGAACATGTTTGGTGTCAAATGTAAAGATGTGGGAAGAATCTATGCCATACAAGTAGACTAAGTGCTTGACAGAAAGTGATATTTTTGTAAAGGTGATTTTCAGCTGGAAATACACTGAAAGTGAGTCAAGGCTGAAAAGTATCTAAACAAAGTGGACTCTGCTTTTCATCAACTTTTCCATGTAGCTCAGTATCTGGTGGATTTGAATGCATACAGAGCCAATACTGTTAAACTTCCATGCACCTGTATATGATTTAAAGGCACTAGGTAGTTTGCTTGACTTTGAGCAATAAAAGAGTGGGTAACTGCAGATGGTGTTTGGCTGGTCAGTCTGTTGTTAGGATCAGATACACTTGAAGGTTAATTCATCACCATAGCAAATGTAGTGGGCTGTCGTTGCACCTGTTACACTGCGTTTTCTCTAAAAACCAAAGGAGGGCGCTTGTGCGCTGGTAAATTGAGGACGTGTAGGCGAGATATGTCTCAATGCTGGATAGTTGACTGACACATCTCTGGCCTTGAGCAACGCTAACTAATTTTTCCACACCATATCCGGCTTGCAATTGCTACCTTCATTTGCATTGGAAGAATATGATACACCTCTCTGCGCTTGTGTATATGCTACTGAAAAAGAGCCCAACATGCTTTAATTGAAAAGCAAACTTTGTCATTCAGTTACAATGATCCTGCGCCGATAATGTAGGTAAGCAATGTGGCTTAATCGAGAGAAATTTTGAGAGTATATACACACCTCACGTGGTAACGCGTTTTTAGTTTAAAAAAAGGCTTCTAAGATTTCAAACTTCCGTAAGTATGCGATCCTTGGCTTCCTGAATTTCCCCATTTCGACCTCTAATTCCTATATCCCTCTGGCTCCCGACCAGATCCTGAGACCCCTGTCATTCTGCCTGTCAATCTCCCCCACACCCACGTGCTGTTAACCTACTCTATCCGGACAAACAGGAGCACAAACCCACAGCCACCCAAAACAATACCTCCGTACCCGGAAGTAACAAATTACAATTGCGAAAGTTTTGCAAACGGTTTGTCCAACGGATCGAACGGCTTCACCCCAGCTGTAGAGGAAATTGTTCCATTAATTTTCCGGTTCTTACACGCACCAGTCATAACAGGTACGATAATCGCTGCCATCCCTGCCGCGGTGAGGTAATGTTTCCCGCCACGGGTCACATCTGTCCGGCTAATCACGCCACAAACACCACGTTTATACCCCCGAATGTAGCCATTCCGGCGCCAATTTCCCAAATGCCGCGCCATATCCACGGTCTGACGGTGTTTAATAACGAAAGAAAACTGTCATATAAAATCTCTGGTTTCGATTTCAGTATAATTTTCCAGAAGTGCATACTAGTATTCCTTGCCATAAGGTCAATACAGATGCGCATACTTTGCAGCAGCGACTTTTTTTTCAGAAAGCGTTTTTTTCAGGAGCTTGATTTTTTTCTTCCATGTTTTCTGTTCAACAACTACACCGAAAATATTGATATGATACCCGGATGTTTGATACATGAGTCACGTTTTTTATGATGCCTTCTTCCAAGTACACGTTTATTTTTTCAACTTCTTTATGAAAACTGAAAAAGGTTATGATTCAGATACAGTGATTTAGGTGCATTTGTACTTAACATGCGGCAATTTTATTGAGTCCATTAATATTGGCACACCTACAGTTTAAAAAACTGAAAAAAATATAGATAAGATAACAAAGATACATTATTGTTAGCCTATGGGTGCAAGGCCTCGGATAGGGTACTTGCTTTGTGGGGCCTTTGCCCATAATTCATCAATCAAGTTGATTATACAAGTCCTCGCTACACTATAAAACAAAAACCATTCAATTTCAATGTTTTCAATTAAGCTGCTCTGATTGGTTATTTGTGAACCAGACCATGACGTAATTGACACGTGACGACCAGGAGTTAAAGGTGACGTAATCAGATGACAGTAATTCTGAATATTTAGCTTTTGATTGCATAGAATATTCACTTATAGGGCTAAGGTCACGCATGGATATGTATTGATTGTTACACTAATATAGTCTTTGATTCTTGGTATAATAGGATTAATTCATAAATTGCACCCCAGGCATCGCGTATAGTAATTTCATTTGGAGCAGCCGGAAATAATTGGATCGGTACAAAGGGATTCTCCGTAAAATTAGAAAATGCAACTTTTCTAACATTTCTGGCAGATAGTTGATCAATAACTGCATTAGGCATAAAAGAAGATAGATGCTAAATTTTGGTGCATCAACCGCTTTATTTGCAGGAAGATATTCACAAACCGTTGACCTTCAACACTAGACAAAATCTGTACAGTTCCGATCCCCTACTTTAAAACGCACAATCCGTCCTGTTTCCTTATAACTGTAATTTACCATTTTTAATTGATTTATGCATGGATGTTTACTTAGACTCCTCATTAACTTGACAACAACAAACAACAATATATGCAACCACTCAAAAGTATCATCAAAGCTTTGACGATGAATCCGCGGTTGTGATTTTAGTGACTGTCTTCTACCTGCTTACCGGCTTGTCTAACCGCACACAGCGGTTTTCTTATCACGGCATCGCCACGTTAAACCGGTTAGGCGACGTTGAACGGTGATTTCATGAAGCGAAAGAGCGGCTAAGAGGAGTCAATAGGACAGATAAGCGTACCTCCGGGGGTCAGCAAACCGTGTCCAGAAGTTTTAATCGCTTCTCGGATAGTTTCTGCGGGGAGACTTGTACACATTTGTGCGCCGTGTGTCGGGCGATAGGAGGATTACAGCCGGATCTGAGTAATTGGGCAGAATTGACTGAATTCATGGGGTTAAACAACATCATCGTGCAGGGATTAATGTTGGAAAAACGCTCGTCTGATACGTAAAGACGCCTCCCTGTTAGCGCAATTGTCAAAACGTGACTGGGCATAAATAGGTTGCAAAAATGTGTACGTCTATACATGTCACACGTTCATCAAATATATTAGGATGTGTATTTAAAAAAAACGTTCATGATAAAGTGATTGCTTAGATTGTTTTGTTGGTTAGTTAGTTGGTTGGTTGGTTGCTTGCTTGGGTGAATAAAGACACACACACACACCTCCCCGACAGCCATGAACCCGGCAAACTTTGCTTTTTTCCTCGTCCATGCCTTTTGTTTGTTTGTTAAACTTTGTTTGTTTGTTTGTTTGTTTGTTTGTTTGTAAAAATTAACCACAGTAACCCTCTGGTATTTGCCCCTCATCGTTTTTCTCTACATTGTATTGTAATAAGAAACAATAATAGTAAAAGTAATAACAGCAATAGAATATGAATGTTCTATTGACACTGCGTCTACTTCTAAGACAGAATCACCTTTCCTAAACTTGCTACTTTCCAAATATTCAGGAAAACTTACATCTGGATGTTTCCCTCATTTTCATCAAGTAAACTTGATACCATTCTGCCATCAGGACATTTTGTGCCTTGTTTAAATAAGTAGACAATGTTCCGTATGGAAACAAGCGTGACTACCATTTTATAGATTACGAACTGCTTCATTCCATTCAGCATTTCTGATTCATTGTAGATTAAACTTGCAGGAACATTTGGGGGAAAATGCTGTTCTAAAACTAGAAAGGCCGACATTTGCTTGGGAGCAAATACAGCATATTTCAGTCCATCTCCCTCCCATGCAAAAGTGGACTATTCCAAACTTACCCCAGTGCACAACTGGCAAAGGTTCTCAAATAACTGAATTAAATAGTAGCTATGTAATTGATAACAAAGATGCTACAACAAGCACTTTGGATCTCGAATGCTTTACTAATCTTATTACAAGTATGCAAATACTAACAATGATGAGATTTGATACATTTTGAAGGTCTTAGCCACATAAAATTGAATGTGTGGGTCATTACGCACGACTTACGTGCAATGTGACCCCAGGTAACCCCCAGTGGAACACGTGTTCCATGGCCAGTGGCAGATGGAACAGGCCATTCTTTAGATAGAACATGGAACGGGTATAGCACTTTTGGCCCTTTTTTGGCCTGAAATAGCCATTAAAGTCCCCCAAATGAGTCATTTGGAAGTGGTGTATGCCAAATATGTGACTGCCATTCTGTAGACACATGTTCAAGGTACCCTTATACCGAATTTCAGAGCATTTGGTTGTAAAACCGGGGCTCAGGATCCAAAAATCCATTTTTTGTCAAAAAATGCCCCAAAAAACCTTCATAAAAATTTTTCAAAGGCATGTATCAAAAAAATGAAAAAAACGCCTGGGGGTATTGGCCCACTCTACCTCCATGCCAAATTTCAAGTCATTTGGCTGAATGATGGCTGAGTTGAATCCCTTTGACTGTTTGGCAGGAGGAGGAGAAGGAGGAGGAGAAGAAGAAACATCAGAGAACACAATATATTTCATCCATACCATGGTATGGACTGAAATATAACAATGCAGTAATTCCCGGTCTTAAGTTTTACTAGTTAGTTTGACTGCGGATGGTCGGAGAGCCGCTGCACAGTAGTGGTGAGACTCCCGCTTGTCGCCTGTGCACGTCCTGAAAAAAACATAAGAATTATCAGGGATGACATGTGGATTGGTTTAGTTCAGACATGGTTTGTAACAAGAGCAATGATGATCTGCCGCTTATTCTGACGGATTCTTAAGCTGTGCAATGTTTGCTGTATGGAAGGGTTTCAAGAAATAGTGCGGATACAACAAGTACCTGGGTCAGCCTGGCATATGAAGCTAAACGGGTTGGGACAGTCATAGTCGTGCCACTTGTCTTGCTGGGGTGGGCCTGAGGAGTAAAGGACACAATCTTCGTTGCCCAAGCGGCCCGATCGCCCGTTGTCCGGTTGTCCCAGATCCCAGGAGCTGTACGGCCCAAGTGCAGAACGGTCCACCCACTCAAACCTTCCCTCTTCGCGTTGATCGTGCAGGCCGATCCAGAAGAACGAATGGTCGCTTACGGACTTGTACAGGGAGATGAGGAAGGATCTGGTGTCAGCGTCTCGGGGCATGGCGAGGGTGCCGCCGTCTGCACGACAGGCCGCGGCCGCTTCGCTGAAAGACTTGCGTGTGTTGAAGGCCTTGTAGCAGATTCCATGCCAAATTGTGTAACCTTCAGGACAAGATACTGGAAAACAAGTTTTGTATCAGCAACAGGCCATGGATGGGTCATATCGAAAATCAGGATATACATGCAAGATCATGCAATAAATCTACCCCCGGAGCTGTATTCAATATACGAATATTTGATATGTAATATGTATTAAAAGCGACCCCCCCCCACACACACACACACATGTAATGAAATAGTGACCCGCATTAACTGTTGTTTTTAAACAAATAAAGTTTTCAAATAGACCAACATGAAGGGAAAACATAACAGATTAAAACGCAATTTATAATTACGCAAAGTCTTCTCAATCCCGCGAAGACGCTGCTCCAAGGTGGTGGTTCGGCTTCGCTCGTTGTCCAGGTCGCGTTTTAAGTAGTTAACAGCAGTGGACATGCCGTCTTGGTCGCGTTTTAAGGCGTTAACAGTGGTGGACAGTAGGCGCAGGTTGCCTTGATGATCGCTTTTCAAAGCGTCAACCATGGCAAACAGTTGGCGCAGGTTGTCTTGGTCGACCTTCAAGGCGTCTTGGTCGCGCCTCAAAGCGTCAACAGTGGCGGATAGTTGGCGCAGGTTGTCTTGATCGCTCTTCAAAGCGTCAACAGTGGCGTTCAGCTGGCGCAGGTTGTCTTGGTCGTGCGTCACGGTTGTCGACAGTTGAGATATTTCCTACAAACGTATATACGTACGTCATGATGGATAAAGCGGACTGGAGGGAGAGGGTCTGAGACCGGGAATAATGTACGAAATAAACTTACGAAAAACAGCAGCAATTTCTTTTTAAAACCCTCGTATCACTCCTAAAAAAATGAGAATCATAGAAAAATCTCGAACAACATGCTTTATGGTACAAGACTGATTGTGGGGTCGTGTGGCGTAGCGGCAGCGTTCTCGACTCGGAACCAGAGGCCCCGGGTTGGAGTCCTGACATGCCACCGATCTTGTGCCCTTGGAAAGGCACTTTACACGACTTTCCTCACTTTGCCCAGGTGTAAATGAGATTGTACTGTCCCTGTGCTGGTGAAAAAACTTGAGTGTGCCGTCACCACGTCTTGTGATTACATGTTTCGGAATATAAAAAAAGACTGATACCTGTATGTTGCTGAACGTCAGAGGGGCGAGTCCCACGGCGGCCAAGCTCAACAGCACGGCGATGCCGGCGGCTAGGCAGCTGCGGCGGGCGCGGAGGAAGCTACAGACACCACGGCGGCCGCTCACTCCACCCGGATACGCACAGTCTGCGGAAAAATATACTTCGCACACACAAACATGCATACATACATACACACACACACACACACACACACACACACACACACACACACACACACACACACACACACACACACACACACACACTACACACACACACACACACACACACACACACACACACACACACACACACACACACACACACACACACACACACACACACACACACACACACACACACACACACACACACACACACACACACACACACACACACACACACACACACACACACACACACACACACACACACACACACACACACACACACACACACACATACATACATACACACACACACACACACACACACACACACATGCATACATACATACACACAGACACACACACACACACACACACACAAACATGCATACATACATACACACAGACACACACACACACAACGCCCGTTGTTGCGGGACCAGAGTGCCTTTATGAAGCTCCAAATGCCCACCGGTGCGGGAACGTTCGCCATTCATGTGATTTATTGCCTAAAACCGTTTTTCTCTTGACTTAATGGTATACAACACAAGTTTAACAAAACGTGTTTATCATAGAATATAAGGTCTACTTATTCGTATGTTGCCCTTAGCAACACCAGTGACGTCATAAAACGACGTCATGCATATTTAAACTGTCCGCCATCTTAGATTGTTGATTTTTTTTCAAGATAAAGCCTAAAACTACAATGGAAATAGACTAAACCTGTTCAAATTAACCTTTTCTGTAAAAAAAAATTGAAGTTGGGATGAAATTTTAAGGAAAATAGCCGGAATGTACCTGATCTAATGATCCGCCATCTTGGACTTTGGCCAATGACGTCATCAAATTAGCATAAAGTATGCAAAATTATTGATAAAAATTACATGAAATTATATGTTATTAATATTAGACATCATGTGTAAATTAACATAAAAGTCTGAAAATTTAATTGTTTAAGTCTGAAATTTCTTTCAGAAACCAGTTGTCATGGCAACACACATTTTTAAATCATTAATGTCACTGCTATGAAATTGTTGGCAACAATATTTTAGGTCACCAAGTTTAGTGGTCCTACTCCTAGCACAAGCCGTTCGGACGCTATCCGATATCAAAGTTGAAGCGGGCACTTTTATCCCCCCCCCAGCCTATTAAGATTGGAGGGATTTCTTGTTGCCATCAAATTTATTTACTTATACAGCAAGTTATGCAATAGTCGGTAAGTAATATGTCCTCTCTACAGGTTAATTTTCTTCTGATTGTACAACTATCCACTGTAAAAGGCAGGTATGAAAAGCACCGGTTACCTGCAGATGTGTGCGTTGCGTGACCTCTCACGGCCTCGGCGTCTTCGTACGTGTGTGAAGACGTGTCCTGGTCTTCCCGCTGCTTGTCATGATCATGGCGGACACGCCCGCGTGAACCACTCTGACGGACGGGACGGGGTTGGAGCGGATGTCCGCTGGTTTGGCGACTGCCTGGGCCGGAGAAAGGCGACCGGACAGGCTCTGCCTGCGCGTACATTTCGACCGTACTGTGCAGACTGTACTGTCGAGCTCTGTATAACTGTTAAAAATCATGAATATAACAACTAATACCTTAATAAGTCTGACAAAGTAAGGCTACATTTTTTGGAAGAATATGACGTATGAGGTGATACAATAGCATTTTGTTTTTCTACAAGAGGCAGACTAATTTCCGTGGAGAAAGGAGCACTCAGGGCCGCTGGGCAGAAACATGTAAATGTAATCGGTGAATTCTCGTTGCTTTACACGTGCGCATGTGTAAATATATACATGGATGTAGCCCAAGGCCCCTCTCACTTTTTTGGTAGCAGAAGTTAGCTACATGGGGGCTGCAGCAATACTCACAACAACCCCCCCCCCAGTACGTTTGGCACGAAATTGAGTACGTTAGCAGGTTGAGCCCTTTGAAGTTGAAAAAACCCTTACCTTTCCTTTACCTAAGATTGTTTAAATCTAGTATATGATTCCAGATCCAACGTTAACAAATAATGTATGTGGAGTCCACACACATTATCCTCTACAGTCTACACAGTTCTAAAAGTAGCTTTTGTGACAATGAACAACATCAGTTGAAATTCAGCTTCAATACTGCTGTATGTGTTATAATGATGCAATGATTAATAGTTCATTCGAACTCAAAGTTGATGCCGGTGCCACCAAGCCTATTCCCTTACTAGGCATCGGAGGCATGTTGAAAGAAGGACTTTGTTTTAAAATCGTCAACAAAACACATTCAGCCCTGGAAAGTGCTGGAAAGTCCCACGTATTCTCAGCCGTTGCTTCACAAATAACACTGCTGATACCTGCCTATGATGCCGCAGATAGTATTCACAACGACGTCAGGAGGTCATGGGTCATGGGAATCCCCTCACACGTCGCGACTTACCAGTAGTCCTAACGCGAACAAAAAAACGGAACTAATTATTTTTTTCGGTCGGAGAAAATTTTCCCGGTTCATTCTTCAAATTCCGCTTTCAGAGCAGCTTGGAGTTCACAGGATAAATGCCATATTGTATTTGTGGGTCCGTTTTCAGTTACTCATTCTAGCCCTAGGGACGGCTTTGAAACGATTCTCTACATTTGAGCCCATACTGTTCAGTGTTTGAGTAGCACGCTGTGTCTGTAATGACGTCTACCGGTTTCCGGGACTCCTGGCTTCACCTGGTGTCGTCCCAGGTTGCTGAGCTTCTGTGGCACACACAGCTTCCCACGTCTCCATTAACCTCTGTCTGATTGGCAATCATCGTCGGGCAGATTCCTCGCAAATCGTGTTTAAAAGTTTAAACGGCTTCTAAACGCCGGTCCACAAACGGTGGGCCGACCCAGGTGTCTTGGCTGGGGCGCGATAGAGGGACTTATCGGTAAGTGGCGGAATCCGCCGACCAAATAGCATCGTTATGAGGGGATTACTGAGTGCAGTGGCGGGGTGATTCGGCCCAGGTCTCGGCGTGTTCACTCCAGATGCAGTCAAACTAGTTGACTAGGGTGTGGGTACACCGTGACAGGACTAGATTCAGACAGTGCGGTGTGACCCGTATTTTCTATCAAAGTAGAGGAGCTGTGGTTCAAGCCAGCTCTCTGTAGACTTTTCTTCTCCGATGTTTGACACGTCCAGTTGTTCATGTTCTGCATTCGTAAGAAATCCTCTTTGGTCATTAACTGCTGCGTCTTGCAATATCGGCAATTTGAAATATATTATTTGATTATATTAATATAATCCACATGCGATTGCTTTAGTTTATCCAGTTAATAGAACAGTTTTTGCAAATGCGCATCAGATCAATTTATATGTCATTGAACTTTGGAGTATTAGTGCATTTGCAGGAAGTTTTTTCTGTCATCGCAAAGACCTAAATACATCATCACGTCTGTCACGGCCACCTGTCATGGCGGCGCTTAACCTTTGGCCTCGAACGTGTTCACCGTCACGTGACCTTGAAACTAGAGCTGCACGAGATGTCGTTGTTATCACGACGTTTTGGATCGACATGTCAACCATTTACACCAAAAAACAATCAATGCAAGGCTTTCGCACTGTCGAGAACCACTTTAGAAATGTGCTGAGAAACAAAACTTTGGACAGTATTCCACCATCCAGTAATTCACCATCCATGTTTACTAGAGCTCCACCTGCCTCTTCTGGTGTCAAAACCCCCAAATTCCGCCCCATACTCAGATGACGAGTAATTTGTGACACAAATGCAGGCTATTTACAGAAATAACAACCGCGGCTTTAGAGGGGAATCAGGGCACACATGTCCAAGGTTGATTTTTTTTCAACACAATTCTGGACGCCTGCATTCTGGGTGAGTAGTGCAGGTCAACGACCACGTTTGACAACAGGACCCAACATGACGGCAGTGATGAGAGAAATTTGGGTTTGATAGCTCGCACTCAGGCTCAAGAAGTGTCAAGAGATGCATGCCCAGACCGTATGCACCATACCATCGGACAGCTAGTACCCTACGCCAAATGTCACTCAGGAACTCTCCCTAAACCTAGGGTAAAACGAGAACAATGAATCACGCAAACCTTCATATTTCATATCACATGACAGCTGTTTGGAGGAAATCAATTTAGTGCGTGGAATTCAGATTGTCGTTTAGATATTTCAATATCGATATATCATGAAAGAAGCAGGTTTAAGTTTTGTCTTGTCTTTTCGGGATTCACTAGCACACCATCTTCTTTCGTAGATCGAGTGTTTGACTGCAGTTTAAAATTTTTCTTGTTGGTACAGTCGATAATTTTCGCATAAAAACTACAAACAGAAGGAAGAGAATAGACAAAGACGAACACGGGACATACATAACCCTGCCATCGCCGTTTCCATGGTGACCATAGGGAACGCCGACCCGTCGGTTTGCCGAGGAAACATTAGCCGGGCCGCCACCATCTGTCCCTAATAAATAGTGATATTTTTGTACCGTCCTCGTCGTAAAGATGTCTTTGATTGACACCCTGTTCCACGCTGACCTCTCAAACGTGATCCAAACTGGGAGGTATAAAAACTTCCCCGTCCACGGACGGAGTTTCGGGCGGCAGAGTTGTGGAAATGCGCGGGAAGGCGACCTCGAGCTCGCCGCGTCCTGTCAGAACCGTCGCCCTGTCATCATCATGAATGTTTTATAACAACATTCTGTCTATTTGAGTAACTAATAGGGGGTCAATGGAATTTTAAATGTCGGGATTACGCCTTCCTTCTGTAGAGGATAACCCTCTTGGACCCTGCTTCGTTCCTCAGTGGGGACTGTCCGTTGTGTATCTTCTGGGATGATAGAAATGATACCTAACAAACGGCAAAGCTTCTCTGTGCGCTAGATTTCATGTTGCGTTGCATTGAAGTTCTTTGCCTCAATCGGAGTCGATTGCCTGGTTGGTTCAGAGTGCGGGTATCTGGAAAGTTTTCTCTTTCAAGTTTAGATTTACATATAGTACTACATCAGACATGATTTAGTTTGACATCACTAAAGTCAGGACAAGTGATGGTAGCGCCAAGAGCACGGCCCGCCCCCTTCGCGACTCCTGCCGAGATAGCTGACCGCCGCACCCCGGTAGCGCCAATGGGGCATGGGATCAAATCATCGGGCTCTGCCTCAGCAAAATCAACACTTTATATCGGCGGAAAATTGTATTCCGTTTGGCATGTAATTGCCGAGAGCGATTCTATAGAAAGGCGGCAAAAGATGCTAAGTCGAGCCACTAATGTGCATAGAAAATGCCATGGTAACCGTAACCATCGGAATCATAGAATCATGTCAAGATCAGTGAACATGACTGACCCTGTTCAAAAACAAACAATTCTTTCCCATCAAGGAGTAGCACTCGTGGGTTGGAGCTCTTTGATCGTTAACTATGAGTGTTTCTGTTAGATTAAACACGGTCGTCGTTTTTGATTAGCCTCCTCCCAGTTAACACACCAGTGCCTGTGCATTCTAAACCTTTAAAGTTAAAACGCTCCGCTACATTCGTCGCTGGTATTGCAGTATTTTCAAGTACCCCGTGACAGAACCAACCGCTGGCAAGAATAGACAGTCTTTTCCATGATAAGACAACTGTACGAAACTGACACGACTATCACAAAAATGAGTTTGCGATCGTACAACGATTGAAGGTCGAATGTGACCGGGTCCTACCTTACCATATACCCATCCATTGACTGAGGGTGGTCGTGTGGCTACCGGTTCGGAAGTGGGTTACATAAATCATAACAGGAGGCAAACTGATCTTGCTCAAAATTTCGTTCTTTATCAAGTTAATATGCATATTACTCAGGATAAAGAGACGTGTGATATCAAAGACGCGCTGGATGATTATTTCCCTTCAAAATAAAGTGTACAACCTGTTTGTAAGTTTGTATTTTTACCACTCTTTTCACATGACTCACTCTCCTGACGGAATTCCAAGCCTTTATTTCTAGTCAAAACAACGATTTCCATTTCTTTTACATTGGAGCCTTCACCTGTCCTATCAATAGAAAACAGCTCCATGACTAGCTATATAAATGAAGAATTACTATCACCTACTTACCCAGCCACTCGAGTCGACCTTCCGGAGGTACGGACTGACCTCTGAAGATGCTATCGACGCCTTGGAGACACTTATTAATAAAGTCACTATCTCCAGACGGAATCTGTATCAAAATTTCACACAAACGTGTTGGAAGTGTCATTTTATGAATTGGCCGCGAGTTAGAAAGAAATGTTTTCAGACGGGAATGAGGGAGGGACTAGAGAGGGGTGGAATGAAGAAGGATGAGACGAAGGGCCTGTCCACATGTACATTTCATGTACGATTGTCGTACGATCACAAACTTACATCATTCTTGAGAGGGTCGTGCATACTTCGTACAAAAACCAGCCGTCTTGTGAAGCAAAAGATTGTCTTTGTCCTTGTCGGTGGGTTGGTGTTTGGAAATTCTACATTAAAATCGTAGAAAGTAACTGAAAGTACGGGATAGAAAAATAGCCCCCGTATTCTAACAAATTTTTATGCTATTTGCCTAACATTTGGCTTTCGAGATGTGAAATATCTGGTCCTAAGATGAAAAGTTGTAAGGAGCACCACATGCACAGCCCTATAAAGCACCATCCCGTTGGTTAAACCCCGGTCGGTACAATATTTTGATCGCTACACACGATTTCCCGCCGTCTGAAGCTTGATAAGTTTGGATTAGGATTTCTTCCTTAGACTTTCTGATAAGACGTGAGGCTCCTCGGCCTTACAGACGAACGTGTCGTGGTGCGAAGAAGGAGCGGGAAGAGATATCGCTTACGGCGCCCTAATCCTCACATGTGGGCAGCCCGGGGTGTCGGGTGGAATAACACACTAATGAGGGTAATGATACTTGAATGTGAGGGGGCAGGGTGCCGCCCGGGAAGGCACACGTACGGGACACCTGCCACAAGGAACGGGACGTGTTACGTGGTAAGGTGCGGGACAATAGCCACACAGGGACAAGGACGGGACGTGGTAAGGCATGCATGGGGCACCTGCTACAAGGGACGGGACATGGCAAGGGACGCATGGGACACCAGGCACACAGGGACAACGACGGGACGTGGTAAGGCACCTACCCAACTCCTACCTCAAGGGACTGGACGCCGTAAGGCACGTATGGGACACCAGCCACACCGGGACCCAGGGCCAGGACGCGGTGAGGCGCGTACGGGACACCTGCCACACTGGGACAGGGACAGGACGCCGTAAGGCACGTATGGGACACCAGCCACACAGGGACAGGGACAGGACGTGGTGATGCACGTACGGGACACCTGCCACACCGGGACAGGGACAGGACGCCGTAAGGCACGTATGGGACACCAGCCGGGACAGGGACAGGACGCCGTAAGGCACGTATGGGACACCAGCCACACAGGGACAGGGACAGGACGTGGTGATGCACGTACGGGACATCTGCCACACAGGGACAGGGCATTTTTCAGGCCGTGGTGAGGCACGTACGGGACACCAGCCACAGATTAAAATTCAATTGGAAATTTCTCTGAATACATTTTCCCACTGCCACCCAGCCAGCAGACCAACTTTCTGCGGGCTCCTACCTTCCTGTTCCTGACCTTTCGTGGTCTATGCTCTGGGAATTCCCATCATCTACGTGCTGTCATTCAACTGTAAGAACACACAAGCAAACACACATACAGACAAATACACCGAAAACAATACCTCCACACACGGAGGTGGAAATGGTTACAACGTTGACCAGAAAGAACAGAATGATACCACAACTACACTTTTATTTCATTTCTCTCAGAGGTGACTTCGACATACGCAAGCAAGCAAGCAGGCACACGTCAGTCCACTTCAGCAGACTTTTGCCGTCCGCCAGACGCGCCCACCACCCTCCCCCTCACCACCAGGGTCAGGTGCAACCCTGGGTGTTAATCGTTAACCTTCTGTTGCCCAGTTTAGCCTGTCCGAACCATCAATTATCAGGCTGACCAATTAGGAGCACGGACCTTGTTCGTGGCTTTGGGGACAGTCCTTTGATAAATGTAGATGATGGAGGAGAACAGTTCTTCCTTTATCCTTTATCTAGTATTCTTATCTGTTGTTGTTGTGGGCCTACACTACAGTCTACACTATTTGTACATCCAATTTTTGTCTTGTCACAAGCTTCCTTTTAGATTTTCGTACAATGTGTCAAGACCACAGTGTCTTGTGAGACCCCATAAAATTAAGGGCGTACCTAATAATGTCAGAATGTTTGAAAAGATTCCGTTTTAAAGATGGCAGTCCGTATTTGTTTTTCCTCTTGGTTTAGAAAAAGGGGCCGTTCATATTCCTTTTAATTCCACATTCAATAGTCTTTTTTTCATCATTATTCAAACGGTTCGCAATGTGCTTCAACATCTGACTAACACCCCTGCCCCTGGGCTATAAAATGGTCTGTCCCGGCGGCAGAACTAAGCTGGGGTCAATGGATCCGCAAGTCTTTTTCCCGGCCGATATGAACTGTGGTTCAGCAGCAGTGGTATCATACACCCCTACAGGCACGGCGGGGCGAGACCGGCTCACGTGCGCTCACGGACAGCAACTCTTTACGGTGGTGGTTCATCCAGCTGATCTACGTCTTCTTTGTGTTGTAGTTGACCTTGAGCAAGTCTGCCTAGTAGAAGTTTTCCGCACGTAAACTGACCTATAACTGTTTAAGGACGCTTTAAAATTCGTCTAACGTTGAAATGGTGTACTGATCGAGGTGCATCATGTCAGGAGCACATCAAACTTATATGAGCGGCGGTCTGCAGCATCTGGCCTTGCCGCTGTCGGTGGGTGACAGCAAGGGTCCAGCGGACTCGTCAGACTCGGGTCCGAGAGATTTCAGTCTCACGACGGGTGAGATGAACGGTGACGGCTTGGACATTGTCAGGGCGAAGTGCAGCGGCTCCCCTCGGGCACACAACGCAACCAACCCCGAGGACACGAATGCGAGAAGTCCCTGTCTTCCCGAGACAAGTATCACAGACTCAGCCTCTCCTCCCAGCACACCGAACCCGACGCCGAGTCATGTCGGACCCTGCTCGGGACCAGGGCTGCCCCCAGCCCGCCGGCCTGCCGTCTGGCACCCGTGGGATGATGATGACGACGACGAGGAGGAGGACATTGACGATGTGCCCATCGAAGTGGAAGAATCTGACAAAGCAGGTACGTGTACGATTTTCCACCTGAAAACCCCGCATCTAAAGGCGACTGATGTAAAATGTATAGGGGATTAGTCATCTTCTACGCTTAAAACATACCAGTCAGTGATAATCGTGTTCGGATATAACGGTTCAAAATTTTCCAAAACCAAGTGAAATTTTTACATACTTCCAATGAAATTGTGTTCAGTCACGTGGATGACTTGTATTAGACGCATTCTGTGTGTTAACATACATGATGTGTAGATATATGCTGTAAGTAGTCATATCATGTAAAACAGCTGGGTTTGTTTTAATACCGTGGTCCGTTTGAGCCTGTATATATATATCCATGTATATGTACTGAGTAGCTGCCCTCCCCCCAGGCTGTCTGATTCTCACATTAGCACAAAACCTGCCTATCCTGACCGAGCCGCAGGGTGTGAGATCAAAGATCAAGCGTTGAACTCAATACATGTTTATCAGATAACGAGACCGTCTGATAACATAAGCCTTCCTGAAATTGAAGAGTACGCCACGAGTTCTTTTTCATCGAAGACAACGAAATACTTTTCCTCTCTATATGATCTAATTTTACTATGAGGCAACATATTGAAATGCAGATTCTTACAGAACGTAGTAAGCATATATGTTGACTGAAGTATTTTAGGCGAACAGTTTAGTGTTATTTTAGACATTTTCCATTTCATTATTTATGGATTTTATTACAGCGTATTTACGCCGTTTCAGGGCGCTGGCTAGGTAGTGAGAAGACAAAGGCTTGTACCTCTGTCAGGGGAAAGGAAGACAAAAATGACGTCTTACTTTGTAACAACCTTACAGATTATCTCGGGGACAAGTTTGATCACCCGATCGAATTGCTTTTGTCAGCGTAACATTTGTTTTGCCAACTCGAGAGGTCCTCAGCGGTGACGGGAGTGTTATACGATCATCTTTAGGGAAGTCAAGTCATTTACCGGCTGTTTTGATATCAAACACAAATATTTCCCACCGACGTCGTGCTGTCAGTCAGTCTGTACCGTGCAGTGGACACATGTGGCCGATGTTAGTTTGTTCTTTCAAACCGCGATGTTAGGTGCTTGCTTCGGGAGCTCCAACTCAGAAAAGTACGCAACAAACACGGTACTCGTACCTATATGCATCGAGAAAGATGTTTTCAGTGAAGTGGAGGTTGAAGACCCCCTTCCGTAATACCTTACAGGAAGAATTTGCCGGGGAATTTGGACACCATAGATTTCATTTGCCCGCGCAAAGAGAAATGTTACCCTTATTAATACACAAGGCTCACTCCCCTAGCTGGCCAATTACCGATCCTATTTTTGCCGAAGCTCACTATCATGACCCCCTAGGAAGGCCTGGTTGTGGCTAGGCTAGGACCATGTAAAGTACTGGTCTGGGCTTGTATATTCACAGCCGGTATTTTCTCACTATGGTTAAGGGAAAATAAAAGCAATAAAGACTTTATTTCTGGACGTAAATACCGTGTTTACAAATTAGGAATATACTCTCAATTGCTTCTCTGGTGGATTTATGGAAGAATGTATTACTTTCATATGTAACGTTCTTATGATAGCCGACATTCCTTCATTGATTGAAATGAGTACCTGTTTTTAAGTTGGGGGGCACAAGAAGATTTAAAGAAGGAGAACTAGACAAAAGGAACAAGAGTTTCAAAACTGTTTTCTTTTTTTCTTAACTTTTCGAGGTTACTGAGACTCAGACAAAGGAAAGAACAAAAATGAATACCTCGTTGAGTTAGAGATCGTTAATTCAAAGGGAACATATGAGATTGTATGTCCCAGTACATAGAACAAACAACAAGAGAAAGTAATTTTCAGACTGTGGTTATAGCTATAGACACAACACCAAGAATACTATATCGGATACGAATTCATTACTTTCTGCACATTATTTATCATAGCATGCACCCACCATGTTTCGTTTATAATTCCTCAACGATTTCGCCGTACGTCGTAGGTGCGAGAAAAAAAATAGTGTAATAGTTCAATTTCTAACCTGTTTTTTCCTCAAATCTGTAACGTATATCCCTTACGATGTATGTGACCAAAATAGTCAGATGTCATGTTGTATGAATATTTCCTCTTGTATATACGTACCAATAAAACGTGTGTATCCATATCCTGGTGTTGTATAAAGTCCGTCAGAACACACGCGGTTTTATGATGGATTACTATCAGCTATATATGTACATATAGGTCTATATATCGGAGAAGAATAAAATACGAGCGCGCACATGTGGCCCGTGTGACCGTGAACCTGTGTCAGATCCAGCGGTATCAAAGACTGGAGAATGTCGCTACGCTGTCCGGCACATTCTGCGCATGCCCCTCCCATGCTGAGCTCCCCAGGACTCAGATTGTCGGCTTACACTAAAGATATTATTTATCTTTGTAAGTTCTCTATAAAATGTTTTATACGGAGAAAAGATGGACGGAGTACGGTGTTATAGTTTTGTATGTGTATGTCTATTGGTACAACAAACCCTCAGTCTGCAACGTTTCTATTCTAGACCCATTGAAAGTACATCAGACATATCTCCATGGTTATGCCAATAAATTCACAAAAAAAAAACTCTAAATACTTCCCACAGGTTTGAAATCTCCGATTTCTTGTCATGAACAACTGTGACGTAAACAGGTGTATAGTGGGCATCGAACACGCATACAGACGTCGACAATACCGTCAACGACTCTCGCTATACCGTGTTCATATAATTTGATTCATCATCTCAAACAATGATGGTGTCCCCCTTCCCTTCCTTGACTCACTACCATCCTCTTCCCTAGCCTGGGTACCATCCTTCGTTGTTATAAACGGCTGGCTCTCCCTACCACCCAGACTAGCAAGAGCCAGCGGTATTAAACTACGGAGGATGGTACGCAGGCTACTCCTTTCCTTGTGTTCGTTGAGGAATGTGTTTGGGCTGACTCGTGCCCCCTGCGGAAATTAGAACGTTTAGAAGCCATTTTGTACACATGCCCGCCGCCCACCGCATCAGACGCGGGGTCCCGGGAGCTGGCCTGCCGTGCCATGCTGGCCAGCTTCTGTTTCACTCACACATCAATCCGCTCCACTGTGAGCTGTCAATCTCTCAGGCTTGTGCCACAACAGAGCTCCAGACTTACTTTTGATTTTCTATTGATGATTGGACAATGGCTGATTTGGGGACTTATCTAGATGACCAACAGACATCATTCTGTCGTTTCCATTTTCAGCAAACCCTGAAGGCGTCCCGGAGGACTCTGGGAACGAGAAGGAGAATGTGGAAGACCAGGAGGAGTCGTGCCCTGAGGACGAGAGTCCAGCGGACAAGATGCTCTCGAAGAAATCGTCCGACGACAACAACAACAGCAAGTCCAAGGTGAAGTCTCGGGCTCGGGACCCGAACAGGTTGGGGAAACCTCGTCGCGTACGCACCGCCTTCACGTACGAACAGCTGGTGGCGCTGGAGAACAAGTTCAAACAAACCCGCTACCTGTCCGTGTGCGAGAGGCTGAACCTGGCGCTGTCTCTCAGCCTGACCGAGACTCAGGTCAAGATCTGGTTCCAGAACAGGAGAACCAAGTGGAAGAAACAGAACCCCGGGATGGACATCAACGCCGCCATCACTGTAGCCAACACGTACCCCTCTCCCTACCCCCTACCCCTCTACCCCTTCGCCGGTTCGCTGTTCAGGCCACAAGTGCTCTGTCCCCTCCCTACCAGGACTCCCATCATGCATCTCTCCCCTGCCCTCCTGAAAAGAGAATTCCGCCCACCCGGGGGTCAAGTGCATCACTTCCTGCCGTCTGAACGCGTTTAGCACCGTCTGAACACCATCTGAACGCGTTTTATATAGCACCGTCTGAACGCATTTAGCACCCAACCTTTGAAAAACGAACTCCTTTTTTCTCGTCATACTTTTCAGGATTCTTCTGCATATTTCTAACGCTACTACATGTATATCAATAACGTTAAATCTGATGAAATTCACAGACAAACAGCCTGATTGGTATAATCATATCTATAATTCCTTGCTAATTTTTATTGCAGACTAGTGTTTTCGACTTTTGTGGTTATAGTCATGAACTCCCGTGTCATAATTGTGTCCCAATACCTACACTGTACATGTATATAAACCCTTGTTATAAACCCTGTGTATAAAACTCGTTATGTTTATATAGGCCTCAATATGTTTACATCTAATACCATATACTAGCATTTTATGAACCAATTATAGTATAACTTGAATAGAAGATGAATTTTTTAGCTCACAACCTACCTCAACGTCGATATCGCCATTAAACATCTATGAAAATACGACTACCACTGTTATGTATTTGGTATGTTTTTGATGCAACGAATACTCCGTAGTAGTAGTTATAGTTGGAGGCACATGGTATTGGGTAAGATAGAAATGTGATACGAGGCATTCGTAGATTTCGGCTCTAAATCTTATTCTCTAAAAGGAATAGTTTTAGCATTTATTACAAAATGTTTAGAAACGATAACAATTTTACGAAGTTGCGCTATTAATGTTGAATTATATTATTTCTCTGTAATCAAAGACATAGTTATTCATGTCAAAGTCTGGACTAATAAAACGATAGATTGAGCAAAGTGGTCGTTCACTCAACTTTTGACAGTATTTTAAGTGTCTTCACCATGCCATGTTGTTGAGATCTGGCACTCTAGATACAAAACTGTTTAGTTTGCAAATTTGCTCTTGTAAGTGAAGTAAGACAACCATCTGCACTAGTTGTTGTTAATCACTTCGACGAGCTGTGGTTGGGTACAGACGCACAATCAGTTTCATCACACACGTTATAATTTGATGATGACGGATCTGAAGTCTTTAGATAACAGATGTCAAAGTAATACATACCAGAGAGATGAAGACGTTATTTTGACACACGATAGGCTGAAGCGGGCCGTATTGAGGTACCATCTGGGTCGGCTGGTAACCCGAAGTCAGGAATACACACACAGACACACTAGTGCTGCATCTGTGTCATCGAGATGGGAAAACGTACTCGTAGTTACAGTAGTATACACTGTACAGTAGTTCTACCATATGTTCGCTGAACAAAACGCAAGTTTTGTTTGTCAAGTTGATCTATTGTGACAAAATGTGTATAAAAACAGATGTGCCTAGCAGGAAAACATTGAACCCGGACATTTATGTGTTATTGTTATTAATTATTGTCGTAAACACGTCAACGCCGCGTTTTAATTTACCTCTACCAGCTACAGGAAAATTAGTAGAAATTGGCCAAATAGACTAAATTGAATAGAAGTCAATCACGTCGTCTATTATGATAATAATGCAGTTTTTTCGACTGAAGTACCTGTGCAGAAAGAGTCCACATCCCGCTCCAATGCCGGTGGGTGTCGGGGCGTATTCAGTGATCAGCATAACGAATTGATTGATCAGTTCATCTACCTGTCAGTCAGTCACGTTTTCTAGATACGGCTCTATATCTCTCCCCTGTGAAATCAATGATTCACAAGCTGTTTTCATTATTCATCACTATTCAAAGATTGAGTTGTTTTGATGATTGTTGGGCAAAGCTATCATGTTTCAAGATAATACAAAATCCAAGCCATTTTTACTACCTATAAATTTGAATAAAGTAAGGAGTATTGTACATATGTTGATAACATCAACTACTGCAATGTTGTATTATAAAAGTACTGACTGGCTATTGAAAACTTCAAACTTAAAGTTTTTTAGGGCTTGGAAACCAGATTTTCAATTCAATATTCTAGTCAAATGTATATACTCAGTTGAAACAGCATTATCGCAATATATATAGACATACAAGAAGCAAAAATTCCCAAAGTTGTAACGAAAAACGGTTACTGGAAGGATCCAGAGATGATTTTTAGGGTACCACCTAGAAAATAACGGGCTCGTCTTGGGACTTGTTTCTGGAGTTCTAAATGCCCAAAGTATGAAATACTGATTCAAATGTGCATATTTGAGGCAGCACGTGTCAATATCATAGAGATGACTTTATTCATGATATCTCCAGTTTTAGTAACTTTTACTGCCATGAAATTGCATGGGATGATCGTTCTCTAGATCCTCTACTTCTACCAGTTTCCTGACAAGTGTGCTGATGATGGAATTAATTAAGGCTGGATGCCCCTGTGATGATATGATGATATCACTCAACATTCCGACCCCGTATCCATTACTCCATACGTCAAGATGGCGGACGGGCGAGGGTCGTTGGGGATTTGGGTGATCGTGCTGGAATAATGACCGGATCAATCATTATTATATTCTTACTGTATCTCCTGCTTCAGATACATATGTGTTGAGAACAAAAGAGATACGTACGTTGTATACCGTCATAAACTAAAATCACACTTCACATAGTTCACGTAGTCACATTTTAACGTGACAACGTAAGATGATTTTGATGGGAGAGGGAGGGGTTATAATATTGCCCCTTGAAGTATTCTCTTGTAATGTTCTGTAGTTGCCAAACATCCTGTTATACCAATACACAAAACGATACATGCCATCATTTTCTATCATATACCACTGTGCTTCGCATACACGTTACCAACTGTCTCGCCTCTATTTACTCCATGTAAAGCACTTCCTTTTCCTGAAGTTCGCCCACGATTTCCCCCAGCCGGACTCTAGATCGAATTCTCCTTTTATGGATTGAAGATGCGCGTATCACCGCAGCGATTTGAATCTACCGATAACAAACACCACACTGTGTTCACATCCACGGCAAAAATACTCGGGGTGTACGCTTTCACGTCGTAAAGCTTCCAAAGCCGGTTTTACCATCCTGCGCGGTTTCGATGGCGATTTGCGGAGCCTTCCGATAATAGTAGGAGTAAAAACAAAGACTTAATGAGCTCTACTGCCTCCAATTAGCGACTAGAGGGTGTTTAGGGGCTGATATCATCTTAAGCCGTCATTAACCAGTCCAACACCGCGCCCAGGCTTAGAATATTTCCCAAACTATTAATTAGTAGGCTTTATCTGCGATTCGGTAGGCTTTCTGTGGATCTCTGTGGGCGTTCGCTGGAAAATCGCCGGGATAACGAAGTGTTTTCATGTCCAAATTCCTTTAAACACGTCTGTCTTTGTAGTTGGAAGGACAGAGGTGTTCCGGTGTGATATGTGGGGTATACCGGTAACGACGTCCGTGTCTGGCGGGTGATGAGGAAATCGGCTGAGGTCTGAAGGAAGATCAAGGAACTCATCAGATTTAGGTTTTGTCTTGTAAACAATGCAGTGACAACAGAAAACAACATTATATTCGATGACTTAATGAATTAATTAATCAGCTGTCCTTTGTGGTTCTTCAAAATTGAATTACACCCCAACCAAAACTGTGGTTCTACACTGTTCAAAAATGAAAAAGAAAATATTGTCTATTGAAAGTACGCAAAAAAGTTTTCCACATATGGCATAGCTAAACTTGGTCCAACGAGGCGTCAAATCGTTGACTTTCTTTCCCTGCGGTTATGCGTTCTTTCAGACATTTAGCTTTCTGAAACGACTTCGAATAGCGGCAATTTGGCCAGCAACCGCCAAATGACCAGATCTGCACTCAGCTATTTCTGTAAGCCGTATCTGACCTATTACTGACATGGCAGGGCTGCCAGGCCAGGTTTTATGCGGTAGTAACTCGCTATTAGCAGTTTTCTATGTATGGGGTTTTATGGCGAGTCTTTCGGAGCAAAACAGCAACTGCATAAACGCAGCTTGCTCGCCGTAATTCACAGGGAGGGTGCACCCGGCTTAGCCTCTACCAGGCTTCGGGAGGCAGGTGGAAAGAGTGGAGATGGGTTAAATAGAGAGATAACATATCAGGGGAGTTAGTCCGCGGTGAGGGAACAGTTTGCCGCACCCGAACTGTTCTCTCACCGCGGACCAACTCCCCTGACATGCTATCTCTCTATTTGGCCGATCTCCACTCTTTCCAGCCGCCTTCCGAAGCCTGGTAGAGGCTACACCCGGCTCAGTATCCTCTGCCTCTGGGACATGGCAGACCCAAAAGAGAAGCTTTCGTGTTCTACGAAACCATCCCCACATGCAAGTGCTACACCCATTTGATCTAGATTCATGTTGTCATCAAACTATCCTCCTCCGGAATAATTCCTCCTGAAATATATCTTAAAATATGGATATCAAAAACACCACAGTTTGTGGTATCACGCGTTGTTTCTACCCACACATTAGACCTTGACATGATTACCTTTTGAATGCTTCTACAAATGGCTGAGGAGTTTTGCAAGTTGGCATACTGCGGAATGATATCAGATGTTGGCACTTTTCCCCCGGTATGCCTGTATGTATCTCCCCCCATCCAATGTCGCAGACATCGCGGTATCACACAAATAGGATTCATTACTGGTAATGACATTTTGTATACATACCTAACACTCACGCTTCTGCACGTTTACAGATCAACGATAGACCACTTCTTGGCATCGTGTACTAAACTTGCAGAATTGGCCAAGCGGGTTTTCCGTTCAAACGTCATAAAAGATTATTTGTATCGTGATTGATAGCCAATTCCTGTGTTTTCGTCTTTTTTATTCCAAATATTGTAACATTTAATACAAGACGATCATGACGGCGCACTCAATTTTTTTTCCAACTTTTTATGCCGCCACCAACACAGAGGGCAATAGACAATACTAATTGTCACCTGTGTTAATTGAGGAAAGTCGTGGAAAGTGCCTTTCGCAGGGGCACAAGATCGGTGGCATGGCAGGATTCGAACTCGGGACCTCTTTGTTCCGAGCCGAGCACTCTGCCGTTACTCCACACGACCCCACACTGTGTTATCTTGACATTCAATTTGCACACTAGCGAGAAGAGAACAGCAGAAAAGCAGAACAGAAGAAATATATAATGTTACTGCATGCTGTTTATGTATATCGTTATAGCTAGCTGGGACCAAAATGTTACCTCCAACCGCTACCTCCGCACTACCATCTCC